CGATGCGCGTGGAACGGTCGCGGGCGCGGGCGTCGGGGTACGCCGCGGGTCTCGACGTCGTCTACGCCTCGCTCGGAGGGCTCGACGGCGCGAAGAGAGGTCTGCGCGTGGTTCTGGTGCGTCGGCGGTCGCGAGATGGAACGATGGCGAGGGGTGGGGCGCGAGGGGAGGACGCGCGGCGCGAGGCGACTGACGACCGGGACGGCGCGCGCGGATAGATTTACGGTGAGCACGGACGAGAGCTCGTGCCCGTGGACGCGGGATTGAGATTTTTGGATGCGTTGGCGGATGGGGAGGACGCGGTGGTGGCGCTGGCGCGAGGGATCGAGGGTGGGGATGAGAGGCGTCTGCGAGAGACGCTTCGAGCGACGACGTTCGCGATCGCGCCGATGGAAAACGAACGCGGACGGGCGATCGTGGAGGGTGGGAACGCGTGCGAGCGGAAAAATGGGCGGGGGGTGGATCCGAATCGTAACTGGGGGGTCGATTGGGGGGTGAAGGCGCCGGATTACGATCCGAAGGAGGAGTTTCCGGGGACGGAGCCGTTCAGCGAGCCAGAGAGTAGGATGCTTCGGGATCTCGTGAAATCTTTCAGGCCGCACGCGGTGGTGAATTGGCACAGTGGTATGTCGGCGATATTCATGCCGTACGATCACGTCGCGCGCGAGCCCACGGGGCCGGGGGCGGAGGCGATGATGCGTTTCGCTCACGTCATCGACGCCGAGCACTGCGACAAAAAGTGTACCCTCGGGTCGGGAGGAAAGGGCGTGGGGTATCTGGCGCACGGAACCGCGACTGATTACATATACGAAAAGATGAAGGTGCCCGTGGTGTACACGTGGGAGATTTACGGCGATGTCGACGCTCCGTACGAAGAGTGCTATCGCGCGTTCAATCCGCTCACGAAAGAGGCGTACGAACGCGTCGTGAACGACTGGGTAGGCGCTCCGGTCACGCTCGTGTCCATGCTCGAGACGCATCCAGACGTGTCTCTCGACAGTTTGAATCTGGCTGACGAATTCGACGCACCCGGTGCGCTGTTTAAGTTTTCCACCGCGCTCCTGTTTGCGTTCGTTGGGATTGTCGTTACGTTGGCGCTTCGGCGCAGACGAGCCAGGCGCGCTTCATCTTCGAGCCGTCTCGCGCCGCTAAGCGCGGTATGAGGTTTACGCACCGGTGGAATCGACGTTTAGACAAGTAGAGCCCTTAGCGCTGCGTTAGGAATTGCAATTAGAAATATATGTCCAGCCACGGGTGAGCGATGGATGCGGATTGTTGCATATTTGCATGATATTCGACATAAACACGTGTCGTTTTCGTCTCGACACACTACCAGAACGACAAATCTCGAGCCCTGCTCGATAAGCTAAAGAAACTCCCCTCTACGCAAAGTGGATGATACATGATGGAATGCGGCGAATTTACCCCTAGTGGGCGACCGCCCTCTGAGACCCAAACTCTTGAATACCATTCAGAAGTCCTCGTCGAGGGAGAAGGCGTTCGCGTTGCCACCTCCGATGGAGTTCATAACACCCGCCTTTTGGTATTCGCCGACGCGCTTCTCGAAGAAGTTGGTCTTGCCTTGGAGCGAGATGAGTTCCATCCAGTCAAACGGGTTCGCCGTGTTGTACTCCTTGGGCATACCAAGGGAGGTGAACAAGTGGTCGGCGACGTATTCAATGTAGTCGCTCATCATACCGGCGTTCATACCAACGAGCGCGCACGGAAGAGAGTCGCACACGAACTCCTTCTCGATCTCAACCGCTTCGGTGACAATCTTACGCACGACTTCTTCGTCCGGCTTGTTGTTGAGCATTTGGTATAAGAGGCAAGCAAAGTCACGGTGCAAGCCCTCATCGCGAGAGATGAGCTCGTTGGAGAAGGTCAAACCCGGCATAAGACCGCGCTTCTTAAGCCAGTAGATGGAGCAGAACGAACCAGAGAAGAAGATACCCTCAATGCACGCGAACGCCAGCAGACGCTCGGCAAACGAGTCGCTGGAGTCAATCCACTTCAACGCCCAGTCAGCCTTCTTCTTAACGCATGGGATGGTCTCGATAGCGCGGAACAAGTGGCTCTTCTCGGCCGGATCCTTGACGTACTGGTCGATCAACAAGGAATACATTTCTGCGAGGAGTGAAAACGCGAGCTAGCTGTCAGTGAACCGGGTTCAAAAGTTCAAATTTCCTCGCCGCCGAGGCGGCGAGAGTCGCGCGATCGAGCGCTGCGAATCCCATCGTAAACTCTTGAACGCACCGGAGTGAATGTTCTCAATCGCGATTTGGAAACCATAGAACGCGCGAGCTTCCGGGATTTGAACCTCTCCCATGAAGCGCACGCCAAGGTTTTCGAGCACGATACCGTCCGACGCCGCAAAGAACGCGAGCACGTGGGTGACGAAGTGCTTCTCGTCCTTGGTGAGACTTTCCCAGTGCTTCATGTCGTCAGAGAGATCGACTTCCTCGGCTGCGATGGCGCACGAAGGATGTATTCGTCAGTAATCATTCGCGTTCTCGCGTCGCTTTTGCGCGCGCAGTCGCGCGCGCGTCATCTTCTCAACATTCTTGCCCACCCTCATTCGCTTCGCTCGCACGCACCGGTCCAGAACGACGCCTCAGCCTTCTTGTACATCTCCCACACCTGCGGGTACTTGATGGGGAACATCGTAAACCTACGCGAACGAAAAACCTCGCACTCAGTCCCTCGGTTCGAACCAACGGCTCTCAAACGCGCGACGTCATCCAAAATCACCCCCCCCACGCGCCCCTCGGAGACCATCACCGCGACGCGACGCGCGATGGGCCCAAGCAATTTCCACCCCATCGCCCCCTTCCCGCCGCCCCCCCCGCGCCGCTCGCCCGCGTCGCGGCCGTCGCGCGGGACACAATTCGGGCACCGCCGTTTGAAATTCGAACGTTCCCGCCCCGTCGCCCGTCCGCGTCCGCGCGCCCCCCCCCCGTCGCCCCCCCCCGCGCCCGTCGACGCACCGTTGATCGTTCGCATCGAGCAAGGGCTCGGCGAGCGCGCGCGGGGCCATGTCGATCGCGAGACGTCGAGCGCGCGCGTGTGCCGCGGACGCGCGCGATGGATGTCGAGCCCCTCGACCGCGGGCGCGCGGGCGGTGCCGTTTTTTACCATCACGGGGTACGTCACGGGTCACGACCGGTCGATGGGCCATCGCACGTCGATGGCGCGATTGAGAAAACATACCTCGCGACGCACGGGGAATACGCGTGATTGAGACGATCGGACGCGTGACGCCGAGCCCGCGCGTCGAGGGCGCGCGCGCGAGGGGCGGGGGCGACGGCGCGATCGGCCACTCTCCGGCGCGCGTGCACGCTACGACATGGGAAAGGTTCACGGTTCGCTCGCTCGCGCTGGTAAAGTACGTATCGCGCGACGCGGCGACGGGCGCGCGCGCGCGACGGGGAGATGGATTCGCGCGGATTCGCGCGTTAGGGCTTCACGACGGCGCGGTCGCGGATCGTCGGTGGATGTGGGATCGTCGCGACGCGCGTGAGGGGTGAAGACGTGTGTGGAGTCGGTGTGGACGTGCGTTGGAATCGTATGCGTCGTTTGGAGGCGGTGTGCGCGATTCCGTGTCGTCGCACGCGACGCACGGAGGGAGTGAAAGAATAGGAGCGATTAGGGCGAGAGCAGAGACTGACCGACGCGCGCGTTCTTCACCCCTTAGGTTCGTGGTCAAACCCCGAAGGTCGCGAAGCAAGAAAAGAAGAAGCAACCGAAGGGTCGCGCGTTCCAACGCATCAAGTACATCCGCCGCTTCGTGAACATCGTCGTCGGTGCCGGCAAGAAGCGCTCGCCGAACTCCAACCAAGCGTAAGCGAACACAGGCGCCATGAGCGGTGTTTTCGGGAAGCGTTTGAGAAGTGCGGCGACGCGGTCGTTCGCTGTTAGTAATTTGGAGAGTTTTAGAGGAGGGTTGATGAGTAGTGAGCTAGCCAACCGGTGGGCGCCAGCAGCAGGTTGGGCGAGGTCGTTTTTCACGTCCTCGTCCAAGCGCTCGGGCGACGCCTCCGAAGGTGGGTCGAGCCGAATTTCCCTGGATTTGAACCAACGGTCCGGGGAGATCAAGCCAGAGCTGGTAAAAAAGTATCTGAGCGAGGCCTTGATGTCGAGGACGGAGCTGAACAAGCGCGCGCTCGCGAGTGAGCGAGCCGCGTTTGCTCGCGACGAACATGACACGGGGTCAAGCGAAGTACAAATTGCCTCGCTGACCATGCGAATCAAGCACATGACGGAGCACTTGCGTGAACATAACAAGGACACGCACAGTCGTCGTGGGTTGATGGCCATGCTCGAGCGAAGGAAGAAACTTTTGAAGTATCTTCGTCGCACGGATGGCGATAGGTACGCTGATACGATTTTACGACTTGGCTTGAAGGACCGTTCATTCGTTGACGACAAGTATGCGTGACTTTATTTCGCGATTACGTTGTTACACGAGAGTTCTGCGAACCCATAATTTGATATCATCCCTCGTTTTGCTCTTTCCTCGACGACGCGCACGTCCGACGCTGAGACGCCTGGAACGCGTCAAACGCGCGCGCATCACAGCTCGCCTTCCCGTACGCCCTGCGAGTCATGACCGTTCTCGCCGGTCGCATAGTCCAACTCGCCGCTCGTCGTGCCAGCTCTCTCACCGCCCGAGCGACGTCGTCGACGTCGCAATCGTCCGTCAAGAGCGCTCGAGCGCTCGTCAACAATCGAACCGTTACTCGCCGAGCATCTAGTTCTGACGCTAGCACCTCGCCGGACGTCGTACTCGGCTCGTGGATCGTCGTCGGATGCGACTCCGATGGTAACGGCGCTCTATGCGTGCTCACGGGCCCGTCCGTGGGCGCTATCGAGCGAGTGATCGTTCGGGACAACCCGACGCGGACAGAGCTGGTGAACGGTCGCGCGCGACCGCGGTTGGATCCGGAGGCGATGACCTCGGTCGTTCGATCGCTCGGCGTGCCGAAAGGGACGACGGTATACCTGGAGGAGGGTGGGGTCGAGTTTGGATTCAGCGCGCAGACGGCGTTCGTGCAGGGATATAACTTTGGTCTGTGGCGAGGTGTCTTCGCGGCAGCCGAGCTGGAGGTGCGCGTGGTCAAACCGCAGGCGTGGAAGGCGGCGATGGGGCTCAAATCTAAGGAGAGTACCAAGGATGATTCCATTGCGATGGCAAAAACGCTCTTTCCCGAGATTGCGCACGAGTTGAAGCGGAAGAAGGATCACGGCAGGGCGGAGTCACTGCTCATCGCCGCGTACGGGCACGTCGCCAACGGAGGCGCCTCGGCGGACGTCGAGGATGAGATCTGCGCCCGTGTTCGCGCCGCCCTCGCCGACCGAGGTCTTGTTCGCGACGAGGGCGGGGCGCTACCGTATTTCGGGCCGTATTTCGGTATGACTGGGGAGGAGTTGCGCACCGAGCTCAAGCGCCGCGGCGCCAAGGTGAGCGGGAACAAGCAAGAGTTAATCTTACGCCTAGAGACGAACGACGAGGAGACCAAGGCACGTCAGAGTGAGACCGCCTAATAGAAACACGTTATTATTACACCCACGACGAAACCTTCCGACGACGCGCGCGACGTCGCTTTACGCGTCCTCGTCCGCGTTCGTCCCGAGTCGCTCTCTCAGTCGGAAAATCTCTTTATCCCTCGCTCGAACCTCCTTAAACGCCCAAACCATCGGCGCGAGCAAGAACACGGACCCAATCACGCTCGGGAGCCCGATCGGGACGTACTTCGTCCCGAGCGTCACGCACATCGCGCCCCAAGGCGCGCACGATGAGATGAAGTCATCGCTCGTCAGCGTCGCTCCCATGTACTCCACAACCTTCGTCGACGCCTCGTTCGTCACGCGCGCGCGCGCGCGAGGTCGACGCGCGCGTTCTCCACGTCTTCGCCATCGCACGGGCGATGAAATCGATGGAACGGCGCGCGAGCGCGGCATGCGTGCGACGCTCTGAGACCAACCAATCGCCGCACTCGGCGACGCCGAGCGCGTGAGGCGCGATGAACGCGTGGTGCCTGGGCGCGCGACGACGACCGACGCACGACGGTGGGTCGGACGGCGACGCCGAGCGAACGAAAGCGCACGCGAGCGCGTCGTCGAGGCGAGAGGCTGGAGATCATCCACCGGAACACGTGCACGCGTCGTACGCGCGGGACGGGTTCAAGGATGAGAAGCACGAGCTCGAACATCGAAGAGGAACACGACGCGCGAGGTTGTGCATCGTGTTGATGTGCGTGGTGTTGCTCGCGCTCGCGATGACGCGACCGATGTACGCGCCGTACATCGACGTGTTCGAGTCGCGGGACGAGAAGACCGCGGCGCCGCCGACGAAGTCGCCGCCGCCGCCGCCGACGACGACGACGGACGAGGGAAGGAGCGGGCGAGGAGAGGAAAAACATAGGAAATTCGGGTGGTTCGGGTGATTCGTGAAGAGCGGCGTCGCGATCGGGAGTCGACGCGCTCGGGAATTCGAGGGAGCTCGAAGTATTAGTAGCTTTGGTCCTCGTACGAACACCGGCGGTCCCGCACTCGCGGTTCCGGTAGTCGTACGCCAGTAGTCTTGTGATATCGACGACACCCCGTCGTCTCGATCAAAATCTCGGCGCGAGGCGTTTGATTCGCATCGTTTAACATTAAACGTCGAGCGCGCGCGCGCCAGCCCCCTACACGGTTCTCTCCATGATTTCCTTCTTCGCGCACTCGTCCACGCACTTGTACATATCAAAGTATTGTCCCTGCGTCATCGCACCACCGCTCGTCCGTCGTCAGTCGCGCGTCGCCCGCGCCCGTCCGGCGCGTCTCGCGCGTCCCGTTCGTCGCCCGCGTCTCGCCCGCCCGACGCCTCCACCCCCCCATCATCATCGCGCGTACCGTGCAGTGCGCCTCTCCCGTCTCGTCGCTCTCGATCCGCGTCGCGCACGCCTCGTACGCCCGCACGAACGCCTCGCACTTGGGCGCGCACGCCGTCTCCACCTCGAGCTTGTGATCGACCGGATCCTCCTCCTCGTCCTCCCTGCGCGATGCGCGCGCGCGCGGCGCCGCGAACGTCAGTCATGCGCGCGCGTCTCCGTCATCGCGCGCGCGTCGCCCGTCTCGCCCCGAACGCGTACATCGTCGGCGTCGTCGTCGGTGGAGTGCGGTCGAGACGCGGATTCGGGCGTGGGGTGGGAACGTGCTCGAGTCGTGAGTCGTGAGTCGTGAGTCACGACGTCACGACGCACGACGCACGACTCATGACTCGTGACTCGTGACTCGTGACCGAGGACGCGCACACATCGGACGGATTTTGACTCGTCGCCGGCATGGGTGCGCACACCTTTTCTTGAGGATCGGCCACGTATTGTATGGGTAAACAGTATGGTGGGGGTACTCCCATTGGTGTTTTACCGGTCACGTGATGCGTATCACCGTCACCATCAGAACAAAAAGAATACGCCGTACGTACACGCACTACGCGAGCACGATCTCCATCGCGACCTCGTGCTGTCCCCACCTGCGTTGGGTAAAATCTGCATCACCTTCTACATCACCACCCGAAACGAGGTGATTTGAATCACCTTCACCACCGTTCGACGGTGATTTACCCAACCTAGGTCCCCACGCGAGACCACGCGTGGTGTGACATAGCGCACGCGGGTGTGTTATACACGTCGCCCACCCCGCGCGCGCGGACGCGCGTGGACGACCGCGTGGACGATCGCGCGCGTCGCCCCAGAGCGCGCGCGCGCGGTGGACCCCCGACGCCGACGCGCGCGATCGCCCTCGAGCGCGCCGGGGCGAGGCGGACGCGCGCGCGGGACGTCGAGCGCGCGCGCGCGATCGCTCGCGGACGATCATGACGGAGGTGGTGACGCGCGGTCAGCGCGGCGTGCGCTCGGTGCGCGACCTGGTGATCGCGCAGGACGGGCCGCCCCCGGGTGGGTACCCGGCGATCCGCTACGGACGACGGATCCCGTCCACGGGACCGACGGGGGCGGCGTTGTTGGCGGTGTACGCGGGGATGTTTACGTATGGGTTTTATCAAATCGGCGTCGGGAACGCCGAGCGTCGAGCGCTCAGGGAGGAGAAGACGGAGGCGCGGGCGACGATCGTGCCGTATTTGCAAGCGGAGGAGGATAGACGGTACGCGCGGGCGCGACGGGCGAAGATGGCGGCGGAGGCGGAGATCATGAAGGGGATCGATGGATGGCGCGCGGACGCGCGATTGACCGAGACGCGATGGACGCCGCCGGGGGCGAGCACGCGACCGAGCTTGAGCAAGTCGTGAGGCGATGGGATCGGTGACGCGCGTTCGTCGATCGCGCGTCGCGTTCGGAGACGCGCGCGTGTAAAAAAATGAAAGACTTCTCTCGTTCGCTCGACGCGCCGCGCGCGGTTCGGCTCGACGTCGACGTCCGTCGCGTCCCGCACGTCTCCGCGCGCGCGCGTTCATGACATGCGCAGACGCCCCGGGGTGAGCGCCATCGCGCGTAACGCCGAGCTCGACTCGAAGTTTCGCGAGCTCGCGATCGAGCGCAAGGCTTTCCAGGACCAGGATGACGCGACGCGGTTGCTCGCCTTTACGCGCGCGTTGGAGACGTTCGCCGCGACGCATCGGAAAGCCATCTCCAGCGACGCCGTGTTCCGCGCGAGGTTCCACGCGATGTGCGACGCGATCGGGGTGGACCCGCTCGCGTCGAGGAAGAGCGCGTGGGCTCAGGCGTTGGGCCTCGGCGAGTTTTACGTCGACCTGAGCGTGTGCGCGGCGGAGGCGTGTCTGTCCTCTCGCGACGCCGACGGTGGGGTGTGCGCTCTGGATGAGATCGTTCGACGGGTAAACGAACGACGCGGCGCGTCGGTGAGCGCGGTGAGCGCGGACGACGTGGAGCGAGCGATCGAGTCGTTGTCGGCGCTCGGAGGCGGGTGGCGGGTGAAGACGACGACGGGCGGCGACGGCGTCGGTGAGCGGGGACGGAAGATCGTTCGGAGCGTCCCGATCGAGCTGAGCGACGACGTGAACGAAGCATTAGCGGTGGCGCGGGACGCGAGTCAGGGCTGCGTGACGGCGTCGGAGCTCTCGCTCGCGCGCGCGTGGTCGCTCGCGCGCGCGCGAGACGCGCTCGAGGCGAGCGTCAAGCTCGGCATCGCGCTCGTCGACGATCAGGCCAAGGATAAAAACTTCGAGCGTCTCTACTGGTTTCCCGCCTTTCGCGTCGTCTCGAGCGCGTGAAGACGCGTCGTCATCAGGCTTTACGTCGTCGCGTCCGGCGCGCTCCCAGTCGGCTCCTCCGCCTCGGCGTTGTTACAATACGTGTTCTACCACCTCGCATCCATCCTCGATCTCTCCCATCCGTCCCCGCACTCAATCATAGATACTCCTCGCACAGATGCAAGAGATCATCCACCTCGTCGTCGCTCAACCGTTTCGCGCACGACTCGACGACCGCGTGAATCACCACCCGTTCCCTCGGTTTCAGATTGATCAACTGCACGATCTCCGCCTTCGTCAGTTCCACCGCGTCCACGGCGTCGATGAACGCCTGCACGCGCTCCCGCGCCTGCGCCCCAGCCGGGGACGCCGCGAGCGCGTCGTAGCACTGCAATTCGGTCGGGAACGGGTCGTGCGGCTGCGGGTACGCCGCCGCCCGCGCGCTCGTCCCCGCGCGTTCCCTGAGCAGATCCAGGCACTCGACGTTCGTGAGCAGGCCGCCGGCGAGGGTGACGACGCGCATGTCCCGCGCGCGGTCGTCGCGTCCCCGCACGCGCGCGCGCGGCGTCGATGAATGCGGTGGTTGGTTTCATCTCTCGCGATGTCGCACCGTGAACGACGACGGAGCGCGACGCGCGCGATGGACGACGACGCGGACGACGCGGACGCGGGCGCCGATGACGTGGACCCGCTCGACGCGTTCATGGCGACGTTGGAGACGACGGCTGCGCGCGCGACGACGGCGAAAGCGGCGGCGCGACGAATGGACGCGGACGACGACGCGGACGACGCGTTCGCTCGGTGCGGGATGATGATCGGCGCGCGCGCGCGCGCGGTGGGCGCGCGTGGACGTGCGCGCGCGGTGGACGCGGCGGTGGACGCGGCGGTGGATGGGTGCGATGCGGTGGACGCGGATGGATGGGAAACGGATGGACGGGGAGCGCCGCGGGACGCGTGCGGGACGGTGGATCACGCGTCGATGACGTACGACGCGTACGTTCGAGCGACGTACGTGGTGCCGAAGGAGTTGGCGGAGCTCACGGTGGAGGCGGTGGAGGCGAGACGCGAGGCGTTGGACGTGCGGGTGGACGGCGAGACGCGCGCGCCGGTGGAGCGCTTTGGACAAGGCGGGGCGCTGGACGTCCACGCGATCAGAGCGCTAAAAAGGTTGGGATACGAGACGCCGACGGGGATTCAGGCGCAGTGTATACCGGTGATATGCGGTGGGCGCGACGCGCTCGGGTTGGCGACGACGGGGAGCGGGAAGACGCTCGCGTTTTTGTTACCCGCGTACGCGCAGATTTCCAGACAGCGACCGCTGCGGAAAAAAGAGGGGCCGATGGCGCTCGTTCTCGCGCCCACGCGTGAGCTTGCGACGCAAATCGCGAACGAGGCGAATGCTTTCAATCGCGCGGGCGTTCCCGCTCGATGTTGCGCCATCTTTGGCGGGGCGAGCAAGCACGAGCAGTTGAAGAGACTTCGAGCTGGCGCGGAGATCGTCGTCGCGACGCCCGGACGCTTGATCGACGTCCTTCACGTGAAGAACTCCATCGATTTGCGAAGGGTGACGTATCTCGCTCTGGACGAGGCGGACAGAATGCTGGACATGGGCTTCGAGCGAGCGGTTCTCTCGATTTGTCGAGCTGTTCGTCCGGACGCGCAGCGCGTGATGTTCAGCGCAACGATGCCGCGCAACGTTCGTTGGCTCGTTAACGAGGTACTCGCTGATGATTTTGTCACGATATCTCATGGTCAAGTCGGCACGGCGAACGATGACGTTCGTCAGCTCGTGCACGTGTTCGAGGATGAAGTTCGACGCGCGTTTTGGTTCTTCGAGCGCGTCGGCGACTTCGTCAACGAAGGTCAAACGCTCGTGTTCGTGAGCCAAAAATCAGCCGTCGATGAATTAGTGAAAGACCTGCGAGAGATGCGCGGCGTCAGAGCCGTCGGCTTGCACGGTGATATGGACCAAGCCGAACGACAGAGCGCGATGAAGGCGTTCAAGGGCGAGCAGGCGCACGTGCTCGTGGCCACGGACGTGGCCGCGCGCGGTCTCCACGTGCAGTCCATCAAGACCGTGGTCAACTTACATCCCGCGCGAGATATCTCGACGCACGTGCACAGGATCGGTCGAACCGGGCGCGCGGGCGCTACGGACGGCGTGGCATACACCTTGCTCACGCCTCTCGACTGTTCGCCGAGATTCGCCTCGCAACTCGAGCGCGGTCTGGAAGATTCCGGACAGCAAGTCCCGCTCGATCTCAAAGCCCTCGCGCGAGGATCTTACAACAAGAGACCGAGATCTGACGATCATGGCGAGCCTTTGACACATCGTCATGGCAAAGTGGGCGGACGAGGCGTTGGATTCGTGGGCGCGCGCGCGCCGACGAGCGCTCCGCACGGCGGCGGTCGCGGTGCACGTCCGATACCACGAGAGAACTTCACCGCGGTACCTCCACCGCCTTCGTCGGAAACGAATTTCCGCTCCAAGCAGCACGCAGAGGCGCTTGCGCAAGCGCGCGCGCGCGCGGAGTCCATCGCCGCGCAGCTGGTGCAGCCTCCGCCGCCTCCATCGATTGAAGAGTCATCGTCCGCGGCGTCCGCGGCAATAGCCGCCGCGCGCGCCATAGCGGCCCGACTCACCGCCGCCCACCCGCCGACCGCGGAGGAGCGTTAGTCGCGGACGTAGTAGCATATAGACGCGCCCGATGTACAACATACCAATTACAAACTGATTTTTTACCGCCTCAAAATTGCGATACCGCTCGCTTTCGCTCCTTCTCCGTCTCCAGCGCCTTTCGGACGTGCTTGGAGACTGATATGAATTTCAGAGACTTGTTTTTCGACTCGATTCGAGTCTTTGGCTCGCGCTGCGCGAAAAATTTGTGTCGCGAGTTCGTCGAGCTGCTCTCGCGCACCATCGCACCCGTGTGCGAACTCCTCGACGTGTCCATTCGCGTGAACTTTTCCAACAAGTCCTGGAGCATGCGCGCGCGTCGTGACTCCGCGCTATCGAGCGCACCCTGCGTGCGCTCGACGTTTGCGCGAATTCTTCCCGCGATGGCGGCGTCCGTCTCGCCTCGCATGGATAGAATCTCTCGCATGACGAATTCGTCGTCCCTCTCGATGTCTCGCACCTCGGCACCATCCACCTGGACGAACGACGGTTCGGCGACATCGTCATCATCTTCCGAATCGTCGTCCCAATCTTCGCTCGCGCCGACGTCGTCGTTCGCGTCGTTCGCGTCCGACGCGCTCTCGTCATCGTCGTCATCGTTCGCATCGTCATCCTCGTTCGCGAACTCGCTCCCATGGAACAACCACCCATCGATCGCCTCCTTCTTCGCCCGCGCTTCCGAGTCATCGCTCCCATCCGCGCTCGCCCGCCCGCCCCCGCCGCCCCCGTCGTCTTCGCTCCGCCGCCCGCGCGTCGCCAACCCCAACGCGCGTCTCGCTCGTCTGCACCCCCGCGCGTGTCGCGTCTCCACCTCCCGCATCCACGACTCCCCGATGAACCCCGCGTTCGCACAAAACTCAAACGCTTCCTCGCGCAACACCATCTCTCGCGTCGCGCACCACCCGCCCGCGTGCGCTTTACGAAACGCCCCGCGCGTCGCCGTCGCGTCCCATCCACACAGCGTCGCGACATCGTTCACGCGCGCGCCGACCGCATCATCCGTCCCAGTCGCCGCGCCCACGAGCGCGGCGCCGACGAGCGAGCGGCCGAGCCGTCGCGCGCGCGCCGGCGCCGCCCCCCGCGTCGATCGCGCCGCGGCGAACGCGCACTCGTGCAGCGCCAACGTCCCATCCATCGCGTCCGCGTCCCCCGCCCGCGCGTCGCGCGCGACGACGCGCGCGATCGCCGCCGTCGCGCGATCGTCGTCGTCGTCGTCGTCGTCGTCCGAGCTCGCGCGCGCGCGGTCGCCGCGATCGCGCGCCATGACGCGCGCGCGCGTCGCGATGGCGTCACCCGTCGACCGCCCGTCGCGTTTTACCTTTCGACACCGGTCGATGTCGTGCGCGTTGTACCTTTAGATTTTACCTTTTGATTTTACCTTTCGAGTCAAAAAACACCGCCGGCGCACGTCGCGCGCGACGTCTCGCGCCCACGGTGCGCGCGAAATACGGTGGACCACGTCGTGCGAGACGTCGCGCGCGCGCGCGACGCACCTCGGGCGTCGCGCGTGGGACGTCCGTCGTCGACCGTCGCGGATGCGTCCGGTTCGCCCACGCGTGGACGTCGACGACATCGTCCAAAGGTGCGTCGGAACGTGAAATGTGTCGGAACATCGAAAGGTGTCGAAAGGTGACGCGCGAACGGCGTCGACGCGGTGGATCGATCGCGACGGGGGTGGCTAAATCTCAGGCCGAAGTAACTTTTAGCCACGCCCGACCGGGTCGGCGTCGGATTTTGACTAATCTCCGTAATGGGATTTTGACTAATCTCCGTAATGGTTGTGCACACCTTTTGTTGAGTCATAACCGGCCACGTATTGTATGGGTAAACAGTATGAGGGGCGTACTCCAACTTGTGTTTTACCTCGTACAAATTTCGGCAAGTTTTCGCAACACGCGACATGTGTGCGCGGATAACGCGACGACGAGGCAGCGAGGACGTGCGTCGCGATGAACAGTTATAGATACATGCATGTTACATCAGATTCATCCAGTTTCTGTGGCATACGACGGACATAGCGACGTCCTCACGCAGTTCCTTGCGCTCTGGTACTCCACCCCAAGCTCTCAAGAAACCACGTCTAAACCCTAACTAAACCCTACATAGGGTTTAGGTGTCTATTTCTCGCGAGTGTTCTACGCGCACAAGCGATCGACGTGTCACTTTCATCCGCGTTTCGGGCTTCAGAAAAGACTTTGAACGCCTCGTGTTGTTCATCGTATCCACTTAACTGTGGTGTCAGCGTGTATTGCACGCGCTGTGCATGTGCCATCAACCCTAACTAGGGTTTGGTTAGGGTTTATCTAGGGTTTGGGCAGGAGTCAAGGTGTCTCCTCACGGCTCTGTCAGAGTGAGGTTGTTCTGCCTATTACATTCGACTGAGCAATTTCTTCTCGTGAGAACGTCAATGATCCGATAGTGTGTGATGGATACTACGTGTGGCAAATCGCGACGCGCGTCCTCCCTGCCTCGTCGTCGCGTAAAACACAAGTTGGAGTACCCCCCTCATACTGTTTGCCCATACAATACGTGGCCGGTTATGACTCAACAAAAGGTGTGCACAACCGTTACGGAGATTAGACACCCCCCCCCCCTTCCCCGGGCGTCGATCGCGTTCCCAGGCGTCGCGCGCGTGGACGACGCGACAGAGCCGCGCGCGCGTTCGAGCGCGCGAAGAGACGAACGACATGAACGATGTATCGCGCGTGATCGGGGCCGGGGGCGACGCGGGCGCGACGTACGAAGGACGCGCGCGACGCCGGGGTGGATCACACGCGATCGTCGCGATCGTCGCGTGCGCGCTCGCGCTCGGCGCCGAACGCGCGAACGCCGCGGACGGCGTTTTTACGACTAAAAGTGATCTCAAAACTGCTCTCGCAAATTCCAGCAGTTCTTGCACCGGGGGCTACACCGCGTGCAGGCACGGGTTGATCCCGATCGCGGACTGGGACGTGAGCGCGGTGACCGACATGGGGGGGCTGTTTATGCATGACTATCAATTTCGTTCATTCAACGCGAATATCTCCGCCTGGAACACCGCGAGCGTGACAAACATGGGGGAGATGTTCGCTGGCGCGTCCACGTTCAACCAAGACATCGGCGCGTGGAACACCGCGAGCGTGAAAAACATGACGGAGATGTTCAATGGCGCATTCACGTTCAACCAAGACATCGGCGCGTGGAACACCTCGAGCGTGACAAACATGGGGAAGATGTTCGCTGTCGCGTTCGCGTTCAACCAAGACATGGGCGCGTGGAACACCTCGAGCGTGACAAACATGTATGAGATGTTCTCCAGTGCGGCGGCGTTCAACCAAAGCATCTCCGCCTGGAACACCGCGAGCGTGACACGCATGGACGGGATGTTCAAGAATGCGGCGGCGTTCAACCAAGACATCTCCGCCTGGAACACCACGAGCGTGACACGCATGGGTTACATGTTCTACAAAGCGGCGGCGTTCAACCAAAACATCTCCGCCTGGAACACCGCGAAAGTGACAAACATGGACGGGATGTTCTACAAAGCGGCGGCGTTCAACCAAGACATCTCCGCCTGGAACACCGCGAGCGTGACAAACATGATTTACATGTTCAGAGAAGCGGCGGCGTTCAACCAAGACATCTCCGCCTGGAACACCGCGAAAGTGACAAACATGATTCACATGTTCAGAGAAGCGGCGGCGTTCAACCAAGACATCTCCGCCTGGAACACCGCGAGCGTGACAAACATGTATGAGATGTTCTCCAGTGCGGCGGCGTTCAACCAAGACATCTCCGCCTGGAACACCGCGAGCGTGACAAACATGGGTTACATGTTCTCCAATGCGACGGCGTTCAACGCGAACATCTCCGCCTGGAACACCTCGAAAGTGACAAACATGTACGCGATGTTCTACATTGCGGCGGCGTTCAACCAAGACATCTCCGCCTGGAACACCGCGAGCGTGACAAACATGGGCGGGATGTTCGCCAGTACAGCGGCGTTCAACCAAGACATCTCCGCGTGGAACACCGCGAGCGTGACAAACATGTACGCGATGTTCTACATTGCGGCGGCGTTCAACCAAGACATCTCCGCCTGGAACACCACGAGCGTGACGAGCATGAAAGAGATGTTCACCCGTGCGGCGGCGTTCAACGCGAACATCTCCGCCTGGAACACCGCGAAAGTGACGAGCATGGAGTCCATGTTCTCCAATGCGGCGGCGTTCAACCAAGACATATCCGCCTGGAACACCGCGAAAGTGACAACCATGGACTCGATGTTCTACAACGCGACAGCGTTCAACCAAGACATCTCCGCCTGGAACACCGCGAGCGTGACAAACATGGCGGAGATGTTCTCCAATGCGACGGCGTTCAACCAAGACATCACGGGTTGGAACTCATCCAGCCTCTCGTCCTCTTCTGACATGTTCAATGGCGCGACAGCGTGGCTCGCTCGCTACATGAAGTCTAACAGCAGCGATACCTCGTTCGACGGCCCTGCGAACACCTGGCGCATGATACCGAGTCCACCGCCGCAGCCGAGTCCACCGCCGCAGCCGAGTCCACCGCCGCAGCCGAGCCCGCCGCAGCCGAGCCCGCCGCAGCCGAGCGGGACGAGCCGTCTCACGCGTACCTTCACATCCGTCGCTCTCGTCGCGGGCTTTCTCATGCTTTACTAACCAACTTACTCGCGCGAAAACGCTGCGAGAGGCGTCACCTCATCCAGGCTTGCGTCAATGCAGCGCCTGATGACGACGATCCACGACGGAAAGACAATCGAAAATGTCCTCATGCTCGACGACGCAGATATCTGTTTCGAAACACGTTGCACATAATGCCTAATAGTAATAATATCGGTGCAAGGTACCAGGTACACCAAGTGACGGCCATAGGCACACTCGACGCGGCGCTCGGTTGAAGGCGCTGCGAAACCATACGCCTGTCGCGTTTTACCTTTCGACACCGGTCGATGTCGTGCGCGTTGTACCTTTGGATTTTACCTTTTGATTTTACGGTACCTTTCAACGCACCGGATGAATCACCCGTCGGGCGTCACCCGTCGACCGCCCGTCGCGTTTTACCTTTCGACACCGGTCGATGTCGTTCGCGTTGTACCTTTAGATTTTACCTTTAGATTTTACGGTACCTTTCAACGCACCGGATGAATCACCCGTCGGGCGTCACCCGTCGACCGCCCGTCGCGTTTTACCTTTCGACACCGGTCGATGTCGTTCGCGTTGTACCTTTAGATTTTACCTTTAGATTTTACGGTACCTTTCAACGCACCGGATGAATCACCCGTCGGGCGTCACCCGTCGCCGCGCGCGCGACGTCGACGCGCGCGATCGTCGCCCGACGCGCCGTCGCGTGATCGTTGACGCGTCGTCGTCGTCGCGCGGAGGCGCGCGCGCGATGGCGACGACGATGATGCGTGGAAATGATGACGTCGACGCGGTGCGGCGTCGACGCTGGGGCGTCGCCGCGCCCGTCGCGTCGTCGGACGCGACGGCGACGGCGCACAGAGGGTTCGTCAATCACGCCGCGGCGGTGGAGGATCCGGGGGAGTGCGCGCGGGGGGGACGGCGTGGGGTGCTCGCGCGATGGACGGGCGGCGGCGGCGACGACGGCGGCGACGACGACGCGCGCGCGCGAGCGCCGGGCGGGGCGACGTGTCATAATCGATTCATCCACGGCCGAGGGGCGAGGGACCCGTTCGCGCCGGCGAGCGCGAGCGCGCGTTTGATGGAGACGTCGGGGACCGGGGACGCGCACGGCGCGGGCGCGGGCGAGAGGGTCGGCGGCGCGGGCGAGGCGAGGGAAGCGCCGTTCGCGCGAGCGGGACGGGGGCGACGGTTGGTCGAGGGCGTGGATTGTACGCGCGCGGTGACGTATGCGTACGATCGAGGGCGAGGGATGTGGACGGCGCGGGTGGCGGACGGCGACGCGGCGGATGTCGGATTCGAGCGCGCGGCGCGCGGCGACGTCGACGACGCGGCGCGCGACGGCTCGAACGCGACAGAGGTGACGGATAACGGTGGAGACATCGATGATGATGACGAAGAAGGAGTGGAGATGCGCGCGCGCGCGCGCGAGGCGCGCGTGCGTCTGTATCAGGCGCCGTACGAAGCGGCTGAGCGGATTTTTGCCGAGACGCGCGCGCGGCGCGAGCCTCGCGTGGCGCGCGTCGTCGCGTCGTCGCGCCGTCACGTCCACGTCGTCAACGATTCGTACGACGCGCACGCGTCGACGTCGCTCGACCAACGCTCGATGGATAAGGAGATGGAGGACTCGGAGGAAGAGTCGACTTCGACGATTTGGATTCCAGTCGCGCGAGAGGACGGGGCGAGGTTCTGGATCGAAGCCGCCGCCGACGTGAGTCCCACGGAGCAGCTCGCGTCGTGGTGTCGCGGCGATGTCCCGTGGCCGACCGCGCGGGCGCTCGATTTGGGGAAGGATCGAACCGGTCTTCCTCGCGGCGCGCCCGGTCCGGCGATCGAGGACGCCGACGCAATCGCGTCCATCCAACTCCACCTTCGTCGCTTACACGAAGAGAACGTTCGCGCCGCCGCGACCGCCGCCGAAGTCACCGCGGCCACCGAGAGTGCGCCGCCGAGGTCGCTCACGCCGAGTGAACACCTCGACCTGCTCCGCCAGCTCGCTTTGGCTCGATCGGAGCGGGACAGACTCCGCGACAAACTTCGCGCGCTCGGCCACGTCGACGACGCCGACGACCTCTCGTGACTACGCTCCATAAAGTCATCCACGATGAAGTTATCCACCCACGCGTGGACGCACGAGCACCGATTGTTGTACACTGCATCGAAACATGCAACCGCAGCGTCGTCGCGTCGCGACGCCCGCACATGCTGACTCGCCCCGCGTCGTCTCGCGCGTTCACCCGCCGAGCCCTCATCTCCGCCTCCGCGATGGCCTGGCGCTCGCACGGCGTGGATAACCAAGACCTCGTTCGCGCCTTGACCGCGAACGCCATCGTCCGCCATAAACGCGTCAAGGAGGCCATGTTACTCGTCGACCGAGGTCGTTACGTTCCCAAGAATGAAATGCAATCCGCGTACGAAGACCGCCCGCTCGCGATCGGGCACGGCGCGACGATATCCGCGCCGCACATGCACGCGGCGTGTTTGGAACTCCTGGAGACGCGCGTGCGAGCGGGCTCGCGGGTGCTGGACGTCGGAAGTGGGACCGGGTATCTCAGCGCGTGCTTGGCGTCGATGGCGAGCGAACGAGGCGAAGTGGTCGGCGTCGAACACATAGAGGAGTTAGTCGAGACGTCGATCGAGAACGTGCGAGCGGATGGAAAGAGTGCGTGGTTGGCGAACGGGCGGTTGACGTTGCGATGTGGAGACGGGCGGTTGGGGTATCCGGAGAAGGCGCCGTACGACGCGATTCACGTCGGCGCGGCTTCGAGGGAGGTTCCGAGGGCGCTGATCGATCAGTTGGCGATCGGTGGACGGTTGGTGATACCGGTCGGGGATGAGGGTGGGCAGGCGCTCATGGTGATCGATAAGCTCGAGGACGGCAGTCTGATGAAGAAGATGGAGATGGGGGTCGTGTACGTACCGCTCACAGATCGCGAGAGCCAACTCAAGCGCTGGTTTTGATCCTTTAGATTTTTGGTACCGCTTTTCTCACTTTTCTCAGAGGGTGTGTACCATTAGCGCGTGACGAGTGCACATTCGCGGTGCATTCATCCGATGTTCTGAGAAATTTCAGCACCGGCAACGAAGTACACAAGACCGATCAGGCACTTGTCGACGCCGATCAAATCGAAAAGTCGGCGAGTTTTGACGCGGCTACGGTAGAGACGACAAACGCGGTTTCGGAATTTGGAAACATCCGATGACTCTTAAAAACTACTACACGCTACCGACTCGGAACAGTTCGCTCAAGGCGATCCACTTGTAACTCGACTTATCCATGATCTTGTCCAAGGCTTCATTCGCCGCTGTCAGAGATTTCTCCAGTTCTGTCCCGGCGAGGAATGTTTTGCGCTGCTCGTCATCCGTCATGCCCCGTTTCGCGTCCTCGATAGACAGCAACTTTTTATAAAACAGCAACTGATTGTACAGCTTTTCCTCCGGCACCGTCTTTTCCATCGTGCCCGTGGACATGGGATCCGCGCTGAGCGTACCCGTGAGCGCCGCGTTGGTGTGATGTACGCGAAGCGCAATGTTATGCGTCTCCGTCCTGTCAACGTCGTCGTTCGATCTCAGTGGAGCGGCGTAAAACTCTTTGATTCGCGCACGTGCGGCGAGAATGACTTGGTTCGTCAAAGACGCGCCACTGACGAATTTCTTGGTTGATTTGCCCTGCGTCGCTGGAGTGTTCTCCTTATCAGCATCGGGCGTCGGCGGCGCCAGAGCTTCGTTGACGTGCAGCTTGCCGTCGGCGACCTCACGCACGCCTCGGAATGGGAACTCAACGCCATCGCTCGTTCGCAACAAGAGAGGCGCACAATCGTGGAAGCGCTCTTGGTCGTCCAACCCGAACACACCGCCGCCTGAGCCGTCGTCGAGGTCGTCCTCGCGCGACTGAGACTTGAACTTGTTCGAATCCATTCCGAGGCACTCCGCCATCTTTGCCCCATCCGTCTCCTCGATCGGTGCGCACAGACGACTTATCACTGGATGAACCTGCTGAGACAGATAGTAGTGCAAATCAATCTTCAAATTGCGCTCCTTCACTTCGTCTGGGTGATAGGCCCGCTCAGCGAGTCCCTTGCCCCCGGTAGCGCCAGCTTTGCCAGAGGCGATGTCCTCAAGGGACGCATCGCTCTCCATGGCTATTATATAAGGCACCGTCTCGCCAGCTCGAACGCCGTCTTGCTTGCCTGCCTCGAGACGACGCTTCGCGACCATGACATGCGGCTGGTGCTTGGCATCCGGGTACTCTTCGACGGCCTTGGTGAGCTGCTTCGTGATAATGTACTTATCCAGTGGAACGCGGTTCGCGACCATCTCCACGCGAATTTCTCGCAGTAAATCGTGAATGGCGGTCACGCGCTCTTCGAGCTCGCCATCAACCTCAAGAAGCTCTTCAAGCGTCTGCTTACCGATTTCCTTGACGAGAGGTGCCCAATCACGTCGAACGATGTCGAGACCCTTCATTTCAAGCTCTGTCATCTTAGTTCCGTTCGGTCCGTTCACGACCTTCATTGCGGCGTACTTCTTCTTCTTAAGGAGTAACATAGATCTGAACGCGTAATCTTCCTCAAGAACCAGCTTACGATACTCGCGGTTAACGAAACGAATCAGTTTGTTACCAGCGGCTCGCGCTTGATCGAGATTCTTTGTCCCCGTGTTCACCATGATGGAGTCCGTGTCCCCGTAAATGACGTCGAGATCGCACTTTTGCCGCGCAAGATCCACCGTGTGCTGAAGGATAGTTCGGCCTTGCGACGTGATAAGAGCGGCAATGGCCTCAGCATAGAATCGAGACTGACTGAAACCCAAGCAGCCGTACATGGAGTTTGCCGTGAGCTTGAGCGCGAGCTGACGCAGATCGTACTGCTTCTTCCGCGCCGGATCGCTTTCCTTCGCCATAAGCCCCTTGACATCCTTGCGGCTTCGTACGATGCTGGCGATAACCGCCGGTAAAACGGCGAAGTCTTTGTCATTCGATACCGACGGAGGAAGTTGGATCGTGGGGTCGTCACCGTCGTTGAAGTGTCGCTTCACCGTCGTGTAGCAAATGTTGTACTCTTGAATGATCGACGGGTACAACGATTGGTAATCCAATACGAGGACAAAATCGTCATACAAACCTTTCTTTGGTTCGAGCACGAGACCACCAGCGTATGATGGCCCCTTTTTACCACCGTCGTCTTCTTCGTCACCATTCACCGCCGCGACGCGACGACGCTCCTTAGAGCTCAAACGGTCGGGCAGGATATGCTTGCGCTTGTGGAACTCATGCAGCAAGAGGTACTCAACTCGCTGCGCGCGTGTGTGACCGAGCGTCTTACTCCACAGGTTACCGGCGATGTTCGACAACTGCTTCGTCAAGGGGATGACCTCCATCTTGAACATCAGATGCAAACTCAGCTTTGCGTCGATTTCGGTGCACTTGATCAGGTGCATAAGCGATTGCGTTTGCATGTAGTGGTTCGGAATCTCTGCACCCGCTATCTCCTCGCGACGAACATTGAGCTGCGTCTGAGAGAGTGACGAGAGCGTGTACGAAACCTCCTTACCCAACAAATCTTTTGCGCTAAGATAAGTGTCTGCCAATAAACGTCCGGTGATGCACTGCATGGCACCGAGGGACGCGCCGCCGCCGTACGCACCACCGGATCCGTTAATATTCGGCATTCTTGTGCGCTTCATGCGCCCGATGCGACTCCAGTGACCAATCTTGTTCGCCTGGAAACGTCTCAGCAAAACGTCCAGATTGAAGCCCCCAATGTTGTGGCCCACGATAACATCCGGATCGAGCTGATGCAACTTGGCAAGGAGAAAATTGAGAAGACCGAGCTCGTTGTTTTGACTGGAGAGAACGACCGTGCCAGTGCGCTTCGCGACTACGTTGGTGCTGTTTTCATTCGCCACGGCGTTTTGCCATCCCTGCGGAAGCTCCAATCCATCGAGTTTGCGCACGACACTGAAGTGTCGGACGCCCTGCCTGATTTGTTGCGGCGCTGTCGTACCTTCGCAATCCACGTCGCGAATGTACTGCACCGACGCAAGGGCGATCTCATTCACATTCGTCTGATGGTTAACGATCGTCTGCAGGTTCAGCGAGGCGACGGTGAGCTTCGGCGCAGATCGAGTCGCCGCCTCATTAGACGCCGGTCGCACGCCCTTGTGCGCGTGTGGTATCGACATCTCGAGCTTGCACCATGACTTTTGCTTTTCTGACGGCACGATGCTCGCACCGTGCAAAGAAATCCAGCTCGGACCCTTTAACTTGGACTTGAGCGTCAATAGTTCAAGCATGGGCGCTTGAGTACCCATCATGGCGATGAAATTTGTACCCTTGAGGTCGCTCGGGAACGCTGACTGCGTCGCGGGCGTCTTCACCTTGAGCACGAAGAGCGATCCGTGTGGAATGTCCTTGCGTTCGAAGCAGTAATGTCTGCGCACGATAGTGATCTTCGAGTTTTCAATCCCGCGTTTCTTCAAGAGTTCCTTGATCTCGGCTCGCAAAGCACCAGATTTCGGGACAAGCCGCTTCATGAGATCAGCCTTTGCTTTTTGAGCGGCGACTTTTGCCTCTTCCAACTTATCGGCGTCAGTGCAGGTTTTGAACTTGCGCCGCGCTTCGTCCATCTTGTCTGCTAATTCCATGAGCTCGTCATCTGGATCATCAAACGTCGACGCGGTCGGGATAACGTACATGCAGCGTTCCATGTTTTGAACCACCGCGCAAGCGCTGATTGTCTCCGCTCCAGGCTCGCTCGATACCGGCACGCGACCGAAGAGGAACACCGTCCCAGGACTCTCGCGCTCTTCGTGCGCATCCATGAAGAAGAATGGAATCGACCCATCCGCATCTTTCGGTAGTTCGACGCCGTTGAACGTCACCGGTGCGGCGTCTTGCGTAATCGTGGCCAAGTCCTCTTCATGTTCGTCTTCGTCGAGCGTTTTCAAAATGGACTGCGGCGCGGGCGGTTGAACCGCCTTGGCAATTTCGACGGACTTGTAGTTTGGCTCATCGGTGTCTATGGGATCTACCTCCGGCATGGCTTCGTCAAGATCGACGTCGTTATCGTCGTCATCGAACCCCCCGATGTCGCCCTGTGGAGCTGGTTCGTCTTCCTCAGTTTCAAACCGTACAGACTTCTTCGCTGGAGACGGATCCGCCTTCACCGGCGATCTCACGTTCGCCGCGGCTGCGGTCGCCTGCGCAATCTTTCGCGGTGATCGTCGAGGTGCCACCGGTGCCGTTGCAGCAACTGGCGCAGCCCGTCTCGCCAGTACGGTCGCCGGTGTGGATGCATTGAACATGTCCACCTCCGCGAAAATATCCTCCAAGATGGCGTCCGCATCCGCGTCCGCAGCGACCTCATCCAGCTTCTTCTTCTTCTGTACCCCACCGAGGAGCATCCCGGCGTTACCCTTCGCCTTTGCGTTTGCCTTCGCCGCCTTCTCATCCGCCGTCGCCTTCGCCTTCTTCTCCGTCGCCTTCGCTCCCTTCGCCTTTGGTGCATCCTCTTCGTCGTCCGAATAGTTTGGATTCGCTGTCGTCCAATCTTCCTCCTCCCCGAGATCGTCGTACCCCTCTCCGGCATCGTTCACCACAAAATCGACCCCGGCCTCTCTCCGCTTCGCCACGAGCGCCCTGTACGCGTCTTCATCGAGCTCATCGTACACGTTTTCAATCGCGTCCGCCTCGTCCGCCGCCTCATCGATCCGACTTCGCTTCTTATCGCCCTCTCTCTGTTCACGCAATCTCGCCGTGAGCTCCAACGCCTTCGCCGCCTTCGACGATCTCGCGCGTCGATCGCTCATCGCCCGCAACGCGTTCGATCAAAGACGGAGACCGTCGACGAGCTCTGACGATTTCGAATTCGAATTCAATCCACACGTCTCTCGCGTCGACGCGTGCGTCTCTCACGTCGCGCGCGGGCCGGTGTGCGCCGCGACGTCGATCGCACCGCGGACGGCGCGCGATCGCGGTTCGAACGAGCCCCGGGTCGTCGACGCGCGTCGTCGTGTGCGGGCACGAGGGACGGATCACGATCGATCGAGCGACAGACGTCTTTTTAAAAATTTGAATTTCCACGCGGCGCCCGCGCGGAGCTCCGAGTCGTCGACGGTCCAACCCGAGGGAGAAAAGGAGTGGTCGATCGACGAACGATGTCGGGTGAAAACATGAATAAGATCGAGTGCGATTCGCGGTGATCAGGAGAGACCGCGGTCGAGGGCGACGTCGAGCTTTTGCGCGACGGCGGCGAACCAGCGCTGGTCTCGCGGAGTCAAACCGCGTTGCGTGCGAGAGCCGATCACGAGCACGGCGCCGTCGCCGATCGGACGCACGCACACAGCCTGAGTGTTCACCGGAAAGAAAGATTCGAACTCGACGCGACCCGGGAACAGGATGAGATTCGCCAGGTAGTTCGGTTCGCCTTTCGTCGCCGCGGCGGCGCAAATGGGTCCCAGCGTCACGTCTGCGCGTAAAACCTCGGGATTGCCCAACGCGTTCGCCCCGATCCCGGCTTGCATCACGCGTTCACCGCTCGATGTAAAAACAGCCATCACATCGCAATTCGTCGCTCTTCTCGCGGTGTCCCACGTCCACGCCAACTCCTCTCGCAACTCGGCGCTCGCGCGTTCCGTCACGTACGGCGTCTCGATCGACGCCCCCACTAAATCCACCACGTTCGGCGCTCGAGGTTTCAACGCGATCCACGTGAACCCGGTCAATATCAACGTCGCCGCCATGACCAGCCCCAACACGTCCGCTCGACTCTGCGCGCTCGACGCGTCCGCCACCGGAGCCGTCCCGCTCAGCGCGCGATTCACCAACAACGCCATCCCGAGCGTGGCCCCGTACCCCGCCGGGGACGCGCGTAAGACGTCATCGATCGTGAGCGTCCCCGGCCCCTCGTCCTCTGGCTCGTTCGACGACGCGCGCGCGCGCGAGGACGTTCGCGGTGCGGTTCGCGCCGAAGCGTGACGCTCTCGACGCCGTCGTCTCGCGCTCGTCGACGGAACGGCGCTCGCGCGCGCGCGGGCGTCGAGGGAGAGTGCGATCACGGTCACCATCGCGAGCGGCGAACGTGGATTCGACGCGCGATGAAGTGCGGGACCGCTGCGGGCGAGAGAGAAGTGAAACAATGCGCTTTTACACGACGCGACGCGTCATAAGAGCCTGTCGTGGACGTGTGAATCGTCCGCGGTGACGACCTCGGTGGTGGTTTCGTCGGCGTCGTCGGCACCGGCGATGCGACTTCGATCGACGGCGCGCGCGGCGAGGAGCGAAGCCGAGTGCATGCCGGAAGCGGCGGCGATGAATAAGAGCGTAAAGGCGGCGCAGACGTCGCGCCAACGCTCGGGCGTGGGATCGCCGTTCATCTCCAACACGTGTCCGAACACCGGCGGAGTCGGGACATCGCCCAAGACGTGAATGACGACGGTGGTCATTGAGCACGCAAGCGGGCGGAGTCGAGGCGAGACGCTCCGGAGGATCACGACGTTCACGGGCGCCTGAAGGGCGAACGCGAACGTTTGGCCCATCATCAACATCGCGATGAACGCGACGAACGACTTGCACGCGAACGCGATCTCCAGGAACATGAAGCCCGCGAGTGCAGCAATCGCAGATGTGCGCAGCGCCGTCGTCATCGAGCTCCCATGTGCGTCGACGTACCAACCGCCGAGAAGCGTTCCAGCGATGCCGCTCACCACGGTGACGCCTCCGAGGATCATGTCTGCCCTTGTGCTCGTGTGAAGGTAATCCTTGAATATCGCATACCCAGCCTTGGGTCCCCACACCGCGTAGACGCCGATGACGGCGGTGTACGCCGCGTAAGCGAGCACGGTGCACACGTAAACGTCTCGCGAAAACAACTCTCGTAAATCTGTCGCCAACTCTCGCGATTTCGATCCGAACGTGTGACGCGCGGTGACAACATCGTTTTCATTCGCACCATCTTCGATCCCGCCTCTAAAAGACGACGTCACCGGTGCCAGACCGAAGTATGCCGCCGCGGGAACCGCCGTGAGCGCGTTCAATCCAAACGCCCATCGCCACCCAAGCGTCGATGCGATCCCACCCCCCAGAGCGATACCACTCGCCACCCCCATGGGAACACACGCGTAGAACATCGCCAACCACACTGTTTTCCTCCCAACCGGCGCGTGATCATCGATGAACGGCGCCGCGAGCGCGACGAAGGATGCCTCCCCTAAACCGACCAGACATCGAAACGCGAACATCGTCCCGTACGTCCGCGCCGTCGCGCACCCGAACTCACCGATCGCGTACGCCCCCAACCCGATCGCGATCAATCGATACCCGCTGTAATCGTTCGCAGCGCTCGCAAATATCGGTGATCCGACCAATAAACCACACATGAACGCTGCCGTGAGAGCTCCGTACTCGGCGTACGAGCAACCGAGCGCGCCTTGCATCCCGCTCCCGCCCTCTGCACCGTTCGTCCCTCTCGGCGTCCCGCTCACCGCCGCGCTCGACATCACGCCTCGGTCGGCGTACACTAAGATCGCGGTGAAGCATAACGAACGCAGGACGGCGCCGCGTTCGCTCACAGAAAAGTTCATTTTTTACGCCGTCTCCTTCGACTGTGCGTCGGTCTGTGCGCCGTAACGCGGGATCGACAGGTCCGGGGCGAACGCGTAGTGCACCACGGACGCCCCGAGGAGTAAACTGGCGAGGGAGAGCGCGTACGCGCGCGCTGGGAGCATCCAACGATGCGTCGTTTAATAAGGCTCTGCAGTTTCGCCTCACTGTACGACGCAGCCGCGCAGTCAATCGTCGACATGTACGCGCGTTTGAGGACCGAGAACGACGGGGGCGTCGGGTTCACGTCGCGCGTGGTGATTCAGAACCGGTCGGAGGAGTTTCGGTGGCGCACGCGGATGATTAAGAATGAACTTGAGGAATTCCACCGCGGCGTCACCTTCAGCGCGGATGGGTCGACGCTGTGCGCGTACGACGCCTCCAAGCGAGCGTTAACGGTCGGTAAATTATCGAATGATTCTGTCGAGGACGTTTTCGAGGTGAAAACGGGCGAGCGGTCGCACCAGTGGATGTTGGACGCAAGCGGACGCACGTGCACGACGAGCGAGCGGGACGCGCCGACGACGACTCGCGAGTGCGACTCTGGACGCGTCGTCGCGACGTACAGGAGTTTTAACGATAAAGATGAGGTTACTGGAGCGTGTGGGTTGGGGTATGTGAACGATGGACGGCAGATTGCGTCCGGGTGCGATGGGTTCGTGGACGTGTTTGACGTGGAGCGACCGGGACGGACGCCAGTCGCGAGAGTGCGCACGCGAACGAAAGCTTCGGTGTACGAGCGCTTAGGGTCGCAAGGGGGGTTGGTGTCGTGCGTGGACGGGTGCCCGATTGAGCGCGACGTCTTCGCGTGCGGGACGTACGGTGGTGGGCGCGGAGCGATCGATTGCGGGGTGTACGACGGGAGAGCGGACGGAGGACGCGTGGCGTCTTGGGCGAGCGGCGGCGCCGGGGTGACGCAGACGAAATGGAGCGCGTGCGGGAATTTCGTCTTCGTTGCGAGCAGGAAGAATAGTAAGATATCGTGCGTGGACATTCGTCGAACGGGCTCCGAGGTGTACACGCTCGAGCGGAACGTCGGAGAGACGAACCAACGTGTGACGTTTGACATCGAGCCGTGCGGAGCGCACCTCATCTCTGGAGGTGTCGACGGGAAGCTCCGCTTCTTCGACCTCAGACGAGGCGTCGAGGTAATGCCATGCAAAACAGAGGACGGGTGTCCCGCGCGATGGGGCGTAGATACGGTGACGTGCGTGAACTCCTTCGCGTTCCATCCGTTTGCGAGCGCGCCCGGTTCCCGCGCGTTCCGCGGCGCGTTCGCCGTCGGCGAGCGCGTCTTCGTCGATTTCGACTCTTCCGACTCGGACCACGCCGAATCCGACGCTATTGAAGACCCCACGTCCTATTTCGGCGTGTATCTCGTGGATTACCCAACGGAATCCGTCCCACTCGACGCGCCGTCGACGCCGGTGTAACCAAAAGCCTCTTCACCGTTCACGCCAACGACCCACACTTCCCGACCCCCCCGTCGCGTCGCGCGCGATTGCGCGTCATGGACGTCGTGCAGGACGAACTCAATCGTTCGCCCCCGCTCGCTTTGTCCGTCGTCGTCGCCTCCGTCGTCGTCGGTCTCGTATTGAACCCAGTCTTCGCCTTCGATGATGCTTTTGCATTTTGTCCTCGTGACGTCCTGTTCCGAGCGCAGATCCATCGCGTGTTCACGTCCGTAGCGCACGTCGACGGTCCTCTGAGCGCACTGCTCGCGTGCGCGCTGAGCGTGCGAGTGATCGCACGGCGAGAGCGAGAGAGAGGGACGCTACGGACGCTGTTCGACGGAGCGACAGTGTTTTGGTTGACAACGGGGTGCGCGACGGTGATCTCGGTCATCTTAGGACCGATCATGCCGGTGATTTTGCGTGACAATTACATGTTTGGTACCGGGGTCTTCGCGGCGGCGTTCGGGACGTTTGCGAGGGAGTGCGCGCGGTCGAGCGCGAGTGACGTCACGCAGCTCGGAATCGTCGGCGCGGTGCCGACGAAGCGAGCGCCGGCGGTTGTAGGGTTCGTTGCGCTGCTTCTGGGAGCAAACGCGTTGGAGCTGGCGTCATGTTTGTACGTTGGGTACGCCTGGGGAAGTGGGGGTGCGTTCGAGTGGGCGAACGTGTCGGACGGGACGCTGGCGGATTTGGAAAATGGTTCCTTGCGATTCATTGCTCGCGCGCCGGGATATGTCGCCGTGAACGGGCAGACGCTTCCGGTGACGACGCGAGACGGCGCTGGGGTGTCGACTGCATCATGGTCCACGTTCGCGGGAGGGGTGTTCGCTGCAGCTTCCGCGGCTGCTCGCGAGGTGCGATCGCGAGTGGTTAGTCAACGGCGAACAGAAGGCGCCGCTGCGAGAACGACTGTGGCTGAAACGAGCGATCAATCGTCGGCGAGTGAACAGAGCGGCGATGAAGACACGAGACCCAAACCAGACACTCGTGAAGAGCGCGCTGCCGCGTTCGCCGCCGCGTTCGAACGAAGAAAGAACGATAGACATGGCGAAGGCGAAGGCGACGCCGCTTCGTGATTGGATGACCTCGTCTCGGGAACGCGAACAGACCAGACCAATCCACATTTTCCGATACGTCTTCAACAGATGGAATCCCGCGACGCGCTCGTTTTCCAAGCCCGCCTCGCACAGCAGTGCGGGCGCGATGACGACATGCTGTCCGCGATGAAGGTGCTCTTAGTTGCGTCGCAAGACGAGCTCACGACGACGGAACGGAACTTGCTCTCGGTGAGTCTTAAAAACGTCCTCCAGCGCCTGCGTTCGAGCGTGTCGATCGCGCGAACTCTGGAGATTCGAGAGCGTCAGCTCGCAAACGACGATGGAGCCTCGTTGTGTCGTAAATACGTGAAAAAGCTCTGCGTCGAGCTCTTCGGGTTCTGCGAACAGACGATCGAGATGGTGTCGGGACGCGCGCGTACAGTCTCAGCAGCAGCATCGCTTGATGCGCGCGTTTTCTGGCTCAAGCTAATGGGGGATTACTGGAGATACATTTGTGAGATTGAAAACGGTATAGATCTCAAAGATCTCGGTATCGAGCGCGCACACGACGCCAGGGCGCGTGCCGAGGACTGCTATCGAGCAGGCATCGAGCTAGCGAGCTCACTTCCGATCACCGACGCCACTCGATTGGGACTGTATCTGAACGAAACGGTGTTCTTGTACGAGATCATTGGGAACCGCCGCGCTGCGATAGAGATAACCAAGGCATGTCTCGATCAGACTGTGGAGGCTTCGCCGAGGCTGGACGACGACGGCGTCGACGAAACGGAAGCCATCATCGAGTTGCTCGCGAACAATCTTGCGCTCTGGGGTCAAGATGCCGAAGATCCGCCTGCATCTCTGTCGACGTCGGTGGACGCTAAGGACGTCCGAGTCCTGCATGCTGAAACGCTCGATCTTGCTAAGCTGCACCTGCGCTGACGATAACACGACATTGAAAAATACAGTTACAATCGCGCTATGGCGCAGCGCGCAGCGTCTCTAGCATCCGCTTCAAAGCATCCAGTCCAATCGCGCGCAACGTCTTCGAATTCGTCTCTGGGATCGATTCCACGTATGCTTTGTCATTATCCACCGCGCGCTCGACATCGCACTCCCGCAACAAGTGAATAGAAGGATATGGACTTCTATTCGTAAACGCCGCCGCTTCATCCGACTCCCCATCGAACCGAAACTCGGGATGAAACGCCACCGCCTGCACCACTCCGTTCAATCCCATCGCATCCATCGTCCCGTCCACGATCTCGCACGCGTCCAACATCGCATCAAACGTCTCCAACTCTGCGCACGCCGGCGCGACGACCACCTCCGTCCACCCGCGTTCATCCTCACTCAACCGTGAGATCGCCATCGCGCGCGCGCACACGTCCTCGATCACCTCGACCAAATCGCTCTTCATCGTCGTCGTCACCTCGATCCGCCCGCTCGCTCGCGGCTCGCGAGCGAACGGACAAAGATTCTTCCCGATGACAACCTCATCGATCCAACGCTCCGTTCGTCGCCGCGCGTCGCCCTCGGACACCGCACGTCGCACCATCTGTCGACAACGTTCGCGCGCGGCGACGGGCGACCGCGCGAGATTTCTCGATGCGCACGTGCGTCGCATGGTGACGAAACACAGTGAGTTCACTTTTTCGGAAAACCTCACAATGCGCCTCGCGCTGCGTTTCGTGACGACCACCGCGCCCGCGCGCGCGCGGACGCGAGTCATGGCGACGTCTGCGAGCGATACCACGAACTCGTTGTGTCAGTTTATCGTTTTGCGGAAGGATTTGGGACGGAATCAGAGATGGCCGCTGGGCGCGCTGAGCGCGCAGGTCGCGCACGCGTCGGTGGCGGCGATCTGGAAGTACAGGGAGAACGCGTCGACGATTGCGTACTGCGAGGACGCGGCGAACATGCGTAAGGTTGTGCTGGAGACGAAGAACGAGAACCAATTGAGGGCGCTCGGGGAACAGTTGACGGCGGCGGGGGTGGAGCACTGCGTGTGGATTGAACAGCCGGAGGACGTGGCGACGGCGCTGGCGACGCGGCCGTACGATAAGGAAGATATCGGGCATTTATTTAAGAAGTGTAATCTGGCGAAGGACGTGTGCGTTTCGCCGAGCGCGGCGCCGTAGTAGGGAGCCGCAGATCGATGGGTTGCGAGGCAAAATCTCTGGTTGCCGGTGGCAAGTATCATCACAACAGTAGGAAAGTGAGGGAATCAGAACAAACTGGAGCTATTGGGCCAGAGCGTTCCATTCGCCTCGTCCTTGTCGCGTTTTGTCGACATGTACTCATCTACGGCGTTCACGCGTGCGCCGGCGCCGACGTTGAACCGGCGCTGGAATCCGAGTAACGAACGGTTTATGATGAACTGCGTCTTCAATCGGAAACGACTCGGCGGCGCTTCACCATTGAGAATCATGGCGCTCCGAGCGATCGGCTCCCACGCCTGGACCATAGACATGCGCAGCGCGCACGTGCTGAGCATCCCTCGTAACAGGAAGACACTTCGAATCGCAAAGAAACCTTCCTGCGTATTTTGTAAAATTTTGTTTTGCACGAATGGCGAGTTCTTGAAATCCATTACGTTCATCTCCGCCAACGGCGAAGGACGCGTGTCGAAATAAGCGTAAGAGAGCGCGCTCAACGCCTCTGTGGTCGGGCGCTCCAGTCGAACCGAGCCGTGGCTGCGTATCTCTTTCGCGATGTTCGTGTGGTCCTCGTTCGCCATGTACAGGGACAGCCTGCACATGTGCATGCGCTCGACCTCGCTCACGCGCTTCGTCTGTCCCCAATCGAGCAGGATCAACTTACCGTCGTGGGCGACCATGAAGTTACCCGGATGCGGATCGGTGTGAAAGTGTCCGTGTTTGAGCATCATCGTCCCCCAGGCCATGAACATCGAGTGAAAGACGCCCTGCCAACCAAAGCCGCCGACGGCGTGGCACTGAGCAACGGGAGACGGGCATCGAGGAATCTTGTTCGTCGCGCGAGCACGATTGAAGAGGGTGAGAAGTTTCACGCCGCGCACGCGACGCATGATCAGCACACGTCGGGTCGCCGTGATAACTTGCGGTACGGCAAGCCGGTCGCCCAATCCGGCGGCATCGAGCACCTTTCTGAACTCGTCCATCTTTGACGCCTCGATCGTGAAGTCGAATTCTTCCTCGATGACGTCCAGGTACGCGCGAAAGATTGTTGGGAAGTCCAGGCCTTCATCCAATCCCAACCACCGCATGGCCCTGGTCGTGCTGAGCATGCTCTCGATGTCGCCTATCATCATCGCCGCGTCCGTGGCTTGCACTTTCACGGCAACCTCACGCCCGTCGAGCAGGCGCCCGAAATGCACCTGAGCAATCGATGCCGTCGCCACGGGCTTGCGGCTGAGCTCGGCAAAGTGTAAACCGAGCGGCCCTCCGAGACCCTCTTCCAAGGTTCTGCGCACCAGACGGAACGACACCGGCGGATTGTTATCCATTGTCTTGGAGAAACACTCAATGTACGGCGCCGGCATCATCTGCTTCGCCGTCCCCGCGATCTGTCCAACCTTTCTATAGAATCCTCCAAAGTCCTCAATGACGTCTCGCATTCGAGCCGCCCCCCAGTGATGTTGCTTCTCCCACTCGACGTCGCGCCTCTCAACTTCCTTGATTCGTCCGATGCGTCGCTTGGCGATCATGTAAGACGCGATCACGGGCGCGACGCGCATTGAATAATCGACCTTCCTCTGTTGCCTCCTCGCAGTTAAGCGCATCCCCAGTCTGATCGCCTGCCACGTCGCCCACCTCCTGAGCGTCCCTCGCGCGCTCTTCGGCGCTGCCGCCATCGCTCGGACGCACGCGCGTCCGAGCTTCCCAGGCACCTTTCCCTCCACGAACCTCACGAGCGCTCCATCCCCCCCGCGCTTCGTCGACGCACACGCCACGAGCATTACCGTCAAAGCGCCGTGCACTTTAGGCGCCCAACATCGCAAAGTCGCGCTCGCCGCCGCCACCCCGAACGCCTTGGCCGCGCCGCCGACGGCTCTCAATCCAAACCTCAATTTCCCGACGAACCCAACCTTATTAAACGCCTCGATCGCCTCCTCCAACGATTTCCCAATCACCGCCGCCCCTGAGATCGCCAACGCCGTCCCTCGCTCCCTCGTCGTCGCCAATCCTTTTCGCAACCGCCGATTCGCTCTCCGCGGCCGCAGTCGCGCCAAGCCGAACCGCTTCCACGACCTCCTCGACGGCGTCCGCGCGCTTCTGTGCGCGCGCCGCGCGCGTCTGTGCACCACCACGACCGGTTTCGCCGCCTCCGCGTCCACGTTTACCGTCGCCGTCGTCGTCGTCGGCGTCCACCCGTCGCTTCGTCTCCCCACCGTCTCCCCACCGTCGCTCGCGCGCGTCCCACCGTCGCGCGCGCGTCGCTCGCGCGGCACCAGCCCGCACGGCGGCGGCGGTAACGGCGCGATCGCGTCGTCGGCGTCCATCCCGGTCGCGCGCGCGGTGGATGGGATTTCTTTCACGCGGCGCGCGCGTCGCGGTGTGACGCCGCGCGTGACTTCCCGACGCGCGCGCGGGCGACGGTAACGGCGCGACGCGTCCACGCGGGCGTCGCGTCGACCGCGCGCGGGCGAGGGGGCGGCGACGGCGCGGACGCCGCGCATGGGGCGAGAGGATGATGTTTCAGATTCGTTGCTCGGGGACGTGACGACCTTGGTTCGTGTGATGGCGCCGTTCGCGGAGCGCGTGGACGGGCGTGAGGGCGCGGAGGGGGAGGAAGAGGCGAGGTGGGCGCGGGCGACGCGCGGGCGAGCGATGGGAGCGATCGAGCGAGTGCTCGTGGGAGAGGGCGGAGCGGCGCGGACGCTGAACGGACGAAACGCGAGCGCGGCGTCGACGTCGACGATTGGTGGAGGACGAAAGGGGCGCGATGCGGATGGAGAGGCGGAGAAGAACGCGATGTACGTGAGGTTGTGCGAGGTGGATGGGTCGGACGAGAGAGCGCGGGCGGTGGATGGTGTGATTGAGGCGTTGGAACGGAGCGCGGCTGCTTCGGATTCTATTCGACGGTTGGTTTTCGCGCTGAGCGATACGAGGCGGCGAGATGCGTCGACGGCTCGCTCCGGGAGTGGTGTAGAGGTATTCGGAAGCGTCGATGCGCTCGGTCAGACGTGTGGGGTGCCCGTGAGCGGGACGCCGGATTGCGGGAGGCTTCGGAGCACGCGCCCTGACGCACCGTTTGGAGCGGGCGAGACGTCAGAGGCATCAACGTACACGGTTCCGACGCTTCGACACGGATCCGTGTTCGGTGCTATCACGTCTGTATATGATACCGAAGAGGACGTGGAGGCCGCGACGCGTTCGATGCCTCTTGCGACGAGCGAGCTTGACATGGTCGTCGCGGAAGAGTCAGCGAATCGGGAGAACGACGAGAACGCAGTGGCGTGGTTAGCTGCAGCCGAGGTCATGGCGACAACGTCGTCCAAAGGGGCGTGCTGGGACGAAACATCGACTGCAGTCCGTGAGCTTGCGAGCGCCCTGGACTCCACGCGTTTCGACGCGGCGTATAGAAGTGTGTTTCGCGCGGTGAAGGGACTGGAGAGCGAACCGACGATTGCGAGTGAAAGCGATTGCTCGCACGTCGCCATGGCCGCTTTAGGTGGGTGCCAAACAAGCTCGGATATCATATGCGCGGTGGCGTCAGGGGCGAACGGCACTCGCATGCGTTTCACGGCGAGCTCGAGTTTGGCGTTCAGACATGCACTTAAAATCACTGCGCCGGCGGCGGAGCGACGATGCGAACTGGATTTCATCCTAGAGCAAATGACGACGCCGTACATGCGACCGGTAGCGAGTTCGGTTCGAGATATTCTTCGCGCGCACAAGTTGGCTCTGCAGTCGATGCCGCAGGTGGTGATGGAGCGGCGCGACGCTGAGCGCGACAATGACGCCCTCACGCAGAAATGCGCCGACGTCACTGTGCTCGAGCTCACCGCACACACGAAGCGTTTACGGCGTCAGATCGACGTCATTTTCAACATGCTGACGGAAAAGAAGTTTGCAGAAACGAGATTGGTGAGCCATGTCAAGCTTTTGCGGCGATTGGAGACGTCACTGTCGCACGTTGAGGACGAAGAGACGCCGATGATCCAATACATGTACGCCAAAGCAGTGAAACCCGTCTTTGACGATACACTTGCATGGATGTTCCACGCCGCGTCGTCCGGATCAACTTCCGACTTTTACATATGTTGCTCTTGCGACTGGGCACAACTCCGGATATTTGAGGAATACCGATCCGGCCGAGACAGACCGTATTGGCTCGGTGGCAAAGTGCACGATGGGGAAGACGAGGACGCCGAGATGGATTCACTCAACCTCGCGTGTCTTCGCCCGGGCTACCTTCCTGCGCTCGTCGCCCACGAAGCGAATGATGTACTGAACATTGGATTACAGTTGCGCATACTCCAGAGATTGCCTCAAACGCGAGCGTTCGCCTGTGAAGTTGGCGGCGCTTTCGCCGAGGTGTCCGCATTCGAGGCACACACAGAGCGTGATGCGCGGCAGTGGCTCAATCGAGTGCGACTTCTCGGTTCGAAAGTTATGACTCTTGCGCGTGAAAGCCTGGATAGTATGCGTACAGCCCGAGAACAGAGGGCTTCGGAAGTTGAAGCTGCTCGCTTGGAGGCAATCGCGCAGGCAAAATCAGCATCCATTGTGCGAGAGAAGGCTCGTCTTGACAAATTGTTGGCGATCGAGCAGACAAAGGCCGCAGAGCGCAAGGTTGCCCTCGAGGAACTCGACGAGCGCGAGCAACAACGGCGCACCGCGCGCGAGACGCGCATCGCTGAAGAGCGCGCGTGGTTGGAACATGAAGAGGCTGAGCATCGCAAAGCTGAGCGACAGAAGGCTGAGGCGAAGATGGAGGAGAAACGGATGAGGTTGGAAACTGAAAACGCCAAGACACAATGGTTTGCATGGAACAAAGCGCGTCTTGGTCTCTCGGAGAAGAGAAGAGCGTTCGTGCGCAGACTCGAGGCCGAGGAAGAGGAAGGAGCCATAGCGGCTTTGGCGGATGCGATGCGTGACGGTGTGAAAATCAAGCCGAGTCGTCTCGTCATAGAGCCGTTCGTGAGCTCTTTGAGCACGCGCGAAGTTGACGATAAGAGTGGTGGTGACACGACATCAGACGACGCACTTTCGAATTATGTCGACTTGGATGAAGCTCTTGACGTATCCATGGAGAGATCCGAATCCAAAGAATCACTCAAATCTCCGATCGCGCTCGTAATGGATCAACATGACGACACGGTCGCACTCAAAGACGACACGGAAAAAGAACGGGCACTTGACGTATCGAACATTAACCCCGTCGTCGCTCAGCCATTCATCTCGACCGTTAGCGATCCGGAATACCTGGGCGAGTCATGTGGTGCTCCGTTACCTCTTATACTCAATCAGGAAATGCGGGAAATTGTTGCACGTCAGTCCGTCACCATCGGGCATTACGTATCGACAGTTCTGCTCGATCACCTCGCGCTCGAAGCGCACCTGGATGCGGTTTTACGTTTCGCCATGGCCGGGGATATGTCTTTCTGTGATATGTTGTTGCAACACATGCGCGAATTGTGCTTCGACGCGAAAGTGCAAATGACGCGAACGGTGACTGTGCTTTTGAGCAAAGCTCTCGAAGGGGCGATCGATAAAATTGGCTCACGCGACGATTCTTTCTGTGAGCGCCTACGTATGCGAGAAAGGACAGACGTCCTGGTCACTTTCAACACCGAAAGCTTAAATCTGTGCAGTGCGTTTGAATGTGTGTACGCCGTGCCGTGGCCCATGAACCTGGTGTTCGCAAACGTGGATGAGGATTTTGCCTTGGCGCACACTCAGTCAGCTTTGTTTCAGATACGATACGCTGCCATCGCAGTGAAAGAGGTCTCGGCCTTGATCCATGCGAGCTCGAAATCGAGGGTGCTGATGGATTCCACGCAGACGAATGCAGACTTGAGATCACGCCGCTTGCGCAAATATTCAGCCGCGGTGGCGGCGCTTCAACACTTCGTCGACGCCCTACACGGACATGTTTTTGAAGCTATTCACGTCGGCGCGCGCCAGACCTTGTTCGATGAGTTACGAGACGAGAATGGTGAGATCATTCCCATCGGCATCCACGCCACGTGCTCCGTCATCGACCGTTTTTGTGCTCAGGCGCACGCTGCGTGTTTTTTGCGTCCTGTTGACACCGCGCTCAAAGCTTTAATCGACGACGGTCTACAACTTGCCTTGGATTTCCGGGCGCTGTTCTCATCTATAAACGAAGAGACATTGCTGGCCGACGGCGATGTGTTCATCGCCGCTCAGCAGATACACGCAAAGTTCCACACGTTGATGACGCAACTGTGCTTCCGCGCGCGCATCACGTCGAGCGAATCGGCGAGAGGACTGATCCACCGCTTGGATTTCAACGAGTTCTATCTCTCCGCGGCGATTGATTTAGAATTTTAGTAACGTTAGAAATGAATCAAAATTCAGCTAGACTAGTACGAATCAGACTCCTCGGAATCTGAGGCTTCTTTCTTCCCTTCTGCTTTCGGTTTGAAACCGTCGCGCATGAGCGTCTTCAAATCTTCACCAGCGAGATCAGACAGTCTCTTAGTGAGCTTTCGCGCCATGCGCTCAATCTCTGGTTCTAAATCTTCCATCAGCTCCGCCATGAACGGAATCGCCTCTGGAAGGAGAGCTAGGTACTCTTCCTGCAACTTATCCACGATTTGCTCGATGGCTTGTATGGTGAAAACTCTCGAGCGCACCTTTTCTTCGCGTCCAGTCATCAAAATGGCGCGATGCAAGGGTTTCCAATGCGCGTCATCGGGAGCAGCGCAAAGGAGAGAAGCGCAAGCGCCGACGACTTCGACGCCAAACGAACCCTCGCGCATGAATGTATCATAATCGTCCTCTTCGGAGTCCGTCGGCGGCGACGCCTTGAGCTGCTCGGAGATGAGTGGGTAGAGCATGTTGTAACGGTTGGAATCGAGGAATCCGACGTTATCGTATTGGAAACATCTTCGCAATGCCGCGAGGGTCCATTTTCGCATGCGCCAGATGTCGTTCTCAGACAAGGCCTCCGCACCGGAGCTCTTGCGCTTCTTCTTCCCCTCAGATGGGTCTGCGCCAATGTCAAGTGCAACTGCCGCGAGATCGAGCAAGTGACGGAAGAACGGAACGAAGACGGCACGAAGTTCATCGGCGAGCGACGCGGCGAGTCGAAACAATGCGGCAAGACGCGTTCGCGTGACGCTTGCTTCGCCAGCGCGTGCTCGTGCCCACTCAACACACTGTAAGAAAAACGGAAGGAATTCGCTCTCGGTGCACTTGAGCGCCAACGTGACGCATGCTGAGACGGCGTTTGCCTCGACGTAGTCGAGCGCTTTCTCAGAAGCACCTACCGGCCCTTCTCGGCGCACGTCGAGACCCCGAAGAACGACGCTAAATAGCTGTTGTCTGTGAGCGTTTGTGGCCTTGTCGGAATCTCCAGCGGCGGAGATTATTTCAAGTAGCGCAGCGCACGACGAAGCACCTTCATCGCCACCACATGTTAAACAAATATCCCACGACTCCACGAGAGGGCGTATCAGAAGGCGAAGCTCGATGGTTTGAGGCAGCTCACCCCTGATCGCAAGAGCTAGTTCTTGTAACGCTCGCAACTCGCTAGCTTCCTGCGATTCATCGTCACCGCAGTTCGGCACGATGGATGGATGTAAAGCGACCTTGATGATATCCCCAAGGAATGGAGATATGAAACCAGCCACGTTGTTGACAAACATGCGAATCGCCGCCAGACAAGAGTGCACGACAAGAAACACCTCTCCGTCGAGATCCTTTTCTCGAAGTGCGTCCGCACATTCGACTGACGTATTGAGCAAAGCGGGCATGGCAGTGTTGATGACTGACGCAGTACGGATTCCTAAAATTTTCACCAATGTCGCCAAAGTAAGAGCCGCAGAAGCTCTCAACGTCGCAGAAGAAACACTCAACTGTGCTATGACGGCCGGGACAACCGAAAGTAATGGGTTTGTCGCCGCCTGCGCATGGCTGAATCGCACGACGGCGGCTTCTAAAGCCATCAACGCCGCTTGCGAAGTCGTCACGCTCTTCGACTGAATCAAAGAAGACAGCTCGCTCAGCAAGGCGATGCCTGCTTGCGTCTCCGCGTCGTCCTCGTCGCCTCCATCTTCGCTTGCGTTCTGCAAGCGCTCGGTGACGAGTGCAAGCGCCTTTCGCCGCACCCTTCCCTCGTTGTGGTCCAGAAGTGGCGTGAGCGCTCGCAAAAACGGGCCTGGGGCAAGCAAGCCATTGAGCGCGCTGAGTAGGTTCTGCCCGCTTGCCTCCGCCTTGGCTGCGGCCTTCTCTGGAGACTTTCCAGGAGACTTCGATTTCGACCTGTCTTTCGGTGTATCTTCCTTCGCGCCCACTGATTGCAACAATACGATAGCAGACGACGCTAACGACGCGTAACCTTCTTGAAGCTCTGCCGTGTCTTCTGCACTGATCACTTTTTGCGAGCGAATAAAACGCATCGACGACAAATGCTTCGAGGCGGCGTCAGCGCACGCTCGTACAAATCGTCCTCCTTCCAATGCGGATTCCTGCGAGAGTGAAAATGTCGAGGAAGGGTTAGTCATCGTCCATGAGCTGAGGTGAGAAAACGTCCACGTGTCTTCTTGTTTCTCAGAAGGAAAGCAGCAGATTCGTATGTCTCATCAATGGAATCAGAATCCTGACACAAGAGAATCTTTCATCATAGAAACATCGCGAACGCGTTCGCGCGCGAAGGATTGATCGTACCTTGAGTGCGGATACGAGCGCACTAACAGCACCGAGTGGTGCCTCGCGAACAAGTAGAGTGTCAAGCAGTTCTTCAACCCAGGCGTCATCTTCCATGGGAGCGTCGGACTGATCCACAACAGCAGCAACGCGCATTCGAGCCTCTCGCGCAGACGTCTCGAGTGACTTCGAGCGTCGGATCAAATTCAATATGATAGCGGGCAACGCCTCACCTTCAGGTGAAGCTTGAACCAAAGCAGCGCAGATAGGCGCGCGGCGACGTGCCGGCGCCAGAGGAAGGGACTCGACGAGTCTACTAACCACATTCTTCAGCGACTCACCGCTCTTCAACCATACCGGTACGACGGCAACGAGTGCGCTCTCTAGGGCGCGCTGAGACAAGACGTCGTCACTCGTCGCCGCACGATCAGACAACGCTGAGCCGACGTCGAACACGTGTTCGAGCACAGCATCAGGAGCCGCGTGAGCAATCTCTGCTAAGCACGCCAAAGCTGCGCTTCGAGCGGCGCCTTCGTCTACTTCGCGTACGGCACGAATGATGAGAGGCACGTTCCAACGCGCATCTTTCACCCTCGCTTGGGCCAGCGACTCCAATGTTCGTAGCGTAAGCGCTTCGAGATAGCCACCCGCAGCGGTACCGGCTTCCGCGTCATCAGAAGAGTCCGTGTCCGAATCATCATCCGCCGTTTCGCGCGCTTTAGCGCGAGCAGCAGCGTCGTTCATCAACGCCTCCAAAAAATGTTGACACGGCCCAACGAGCGCGTCAAGGTGTTGCGTTTTGTCCATTTTCCACGCGAGCACTTCTAGCGCAACCGTAGCCGCACGCATGGCCTCCGCCGATCCGAGAGAAAGAGAAGCCGCTACGTCTTCACCGGATGTCTTACCCTTCTTCTTCGCGGGCGTCTTCGATGCAGGCACTGATTCCAAAGCGGCGTTCACGGTCTTCGCCACGTCTTTCGAGTCAATCACCAACGCATCGACCGCGTTTTGGGCTTCCCTTCTCGAGACGTCGTCCGAATCAGCGTTTACTGCCGAGAACAAAATCGACAGGAGCTCCGCCTTGGGCTTCGATTTGAGCTCAGCGACGAAATCAGGCGTAATGATAGCGAACGCCGACGCACGAACAGCTGGTGGCGACGGCGTCACCATGCAACGAGTCAAAACTCTCCATCCCTCGCCGCCGGACGCACCGAACGTCTTTGCATACTCGGGCGTGTATATGTTCAAAATTTCCATCGCTAACGACGACTTGGATGCCGTTGACGCGTCAGATTCTTGCACACACCACGATAAAATGGACAACAGAATCGATGCCTTGCGCGTCACATCGCCCATACCTCGTGTCGTTGCGATCAGACATCGCGCGCCGTACGCATCCATAGACGGCATCGGTTCGCTCACTATCTCCTGCACCGGCTCGAGGAACGCGGCCAATTCGTCTCCAGGAGCACGGGCTTTGTTTACGCCATCCGCGACTGCTCGGCACAACGCAGCAGTGCCCTTGAGCGCGATTTCATCCGAGGCAGCCACCAGGGATTTGACAATTGAGCTCGCGTTCTGCTCTCGAGAGTACGCGGATAAAAGTGCAGCTGCAGCGGTGCGCACTGGAGATGACGACGACGCCGCAGCGACGATGACTGACGAGATGGATGGCATCTTTGAGCACGACGCACACAGCTCCAAGGCAGCAACTTGAACCCGGGGGTCCACAAAGGCTGGATCACTTGCGAACTGCGAGGCAAGGAAAGCACTCGATCCCGCTCCGCCGTAGCATCTGTCGCAAGCGCTCAACAAGTGTCGCAACAGCTCACCAATCACCGAATCCATGGTTTCAATAGAGCGCCCCGTCTGCTTATCGACCGCATCAGTCATAGCCAGGTGCCTGAAACAGGAAGGCAACATTTTATCTGCCTCATCGCTCCCTTTTCTGGGCAAACCATCGAGCGTCGCACGCAAGAGCGACCTGTGAATTGCGGGCAAAGCTCTGCGCGCCGCGGGCTCGCTCGCGTTTAAAGCGCTAGCAAACTTTGCATCCGGCGAAGCGTTGGCTGCAAACATCTCATCATTTTCGATGCCACGCGACTCACTCACACCGTCTTCACTCCACGAATCAGAAATTATGGACCACGAAGTATTACGTAGAGCAACGGCGATTGCCGTGGATTTTCCCGACGTCTTCTCGACGGCATGCTTGCACGCCATGAGCAAATTCGCGCGCCCAACAGCATTGGCGTCTCTGTACACCTCTCGAATCCAAAGCCCACGATCACACTCATTTGCATCTTTGCTCCATTCCTTAGAAAGTGAATCTCCCAAGGCGGCTAAAACGGCTTCGTTACACTTGTGCTCGAACGCCCGACGCGCATCGCCATCCTTGTTTGACTTGCTATCTTCAGCGACGCCACGAAGCTCGTCCGATCGAACGCCGTCCATAGAAGGATGCGGGCACCCTCGCGCGGCGTTCAACGCTGCCTTGGTGACATTACGGAGCGCCGGATCGTTTGAAAAGAGTGCGTGTTCGTACGCCAACGCGGCGGCCCGACTCGCGAGCGCCGAAGGCGCGCTTCCATCGTCCGACTTTGAAAGCACACCCAGTGTGAGACGGAGTGCTCTCTTCGCTACTCGCCGTTCGCTCTCACCGTTTGCACCTCCCGACACGAGCACTGTCATGGCTGTGGCCAATCGTGCCTTTGCCGCGGCGAAGAGCGCTCCGTCGTTGTTCACCATTTGACGCAAGGGGTCGAGTTCCATTGCTGCCGCGGCGACGCGAGGATCATCATCGGTCACGCGCCGAAGCATCGCTGGCCCAAGTGCAGATCCACGACAGAGAGCGGACGGGAGCTCATCATTCTCATCACGAGATTCCACCGCGAGTTTGCCGAGTTGCACGATTGCGCTCTCACGCAGGCTCGCGTTGGGGTGATCAAGCGCGGCGTGAATTGACGTAGCGTGCCCCTGCATCGGCCCAGACGCCGAGCCCAGCAAGGCTGCGCGCAGGAACGCAGCGTCCTCGACGCTGGCTAATAACTTATCCTTCTTCTTCGCACTGCTGTCCGGTGATGGTTCCTTGCTCTTCCTCGCCGCCGAGCCACGGAAGACGAAATCCACAGCCTCACTCGTCTCCAACGGACGATGCTGATCCGCCAGTTTCAGCACCGATGTCACCATCTCACCCGCTTCATCGCTCTTCTTCGCCGTTGCGAGCAATATTGGTATGATCACGATGAAGTGCTTACCGCTCAACGGAACCTTTTCGATCACCGCTCTCAAGACGCGTTCGTAGTTTGCGTGCACATCTGCGAACTCCGCCAGAGAACGCATGAGAGGAAGCGAAAACGCATCCGCGCGATAATTGTGGAGCAAATCAGCAACGAGCTCCTCGAGCTCAGGGATCTTCACGAGGTGCTTGAACGCTCGCTCCGGTAGGGCTCGGACGCGCTGCGTTTGGCAAAGCGCCAACATTGCCTGCAACGACTGCGAGTGAAGCGGAACGCGCGTGCCCTTGACGATACCCTCGAGTAAGGCTTCGACAAGAGGCGCTCCCATTTGCGTGCGAGCGGCTAACTGTGTGGCCACCATGAGCGCACCGGCGAACTGCTCTGAGTTCGCGGCCGACGCGAGGCCAGCCTCGAGGTACGGCAGTAGTCTCGACGTCACGCTCGCATCCACCTCCTGCATCAAACCGAGTGCCTCCGTGATGAGAACGGCGTAAAAGGCCGACGTCGTCCCAACGTTACCCTGCGATGTTGAATAAAAAAGAGCGTCAGTACGATGTCAAACGCGACGAGGTCTCTCGAATGTGCACCGACACTCTAGGCGGTTCGAGCCACTGCGAAGCGCAGTACGTTGCGAGCGAAAAGACACGAACGCCGACAATGCTGGCATCAATCGAATGTACCACCACGATTGGATATCCACCCCGTTTCGCGTTTCGCACGAGTGCTCGCCACGATCGTGGTCGGACGCTCCAATCCTCGTGGAGAAGAGGCGACGAAAAATTCCGCGCTGGGTCTCTCGCGTCGAATAAATCCGCGCACCTTTGTCGTCGCCATCTCCGCCGCGCTCTGCGCGCAAAACGTAAAAAACGCCTTATCCCTCGAGCATCTCACCGCTAACGCCTCTCGCGGCGGCGGCGCCCCCGTCTCCTTCACCCCATTCAACCACTTGAAGTGCTTACTGTTCTCCAACTGGCACGTCTGCACGCACCGCACGAACGCCGCCGTCGAGTGCCAAGGCAACCCACACGCGATCAGATCGTCCACGTCGTACACGTGCACCTTAAACCTTCGAATCAACCACTCGATCGTCGCCCCCGCCGCTCTCTCCGTGAAGTATCCACTCAGCAATCGCAGGTACGCCCGCACCTCCGCGCTCGTCGCCTCCAGTCGCGCCGCGTCCTCCAACTCCCTGTGCCGTCCCTCCGCCGCGCGCTTACTGAACAGCGCTCGCGCATGCGCCTCGAATCGTCCATCTCGTCGACACAGCTCCTCGAATCCTCGCACCGCCACCGCGTGCGTCGTCTCTCGATCGATCGTCGCCGCCTCGCGCGCGTCGTGGAGCAGCGAGACGCGCGATTTTCCCGACGCTCCCGCCTCGACGCTCGTCCGCGACTTGAGCTCGCGCAGGGCGCTCGCGAGCGCGGTGACGGGCGCCATGTTCGCGTCCGCGTCGGCGTCGCGCGCGCGCGCGTGCGGGCGTCACGCGGGGCGGCGTCGAGCGCCCGCGCGACGCCGCCGCCAGGTCAGCGCGCGACGGGTGTGCGTCATACGAGCTCGGCGCGCGACGGGTGTGCGTCATACGGCACGGAGGGACACACGGACGAGTCGTGACTCGTTGAGGGGACGGTGGGGCGCGCGACCCCCGATCGTCGCCGTCGCGCGTCGACGCGCCACCGTCTTGCGCTCGAGCGCGCGGACGCCGGCGCGCGAGACATCGACGCGCGCGCGCGCCGTCGACGCCGCGTGAGCGACGCGCGATCGCTCGTCCACGCGAGGGATCGCGAGACGGTGGAGCGCCATGGAGGGGTATCGCGCGCGGTACGTCGTCCCGGGGAAGTTTGCGCCGTTGAAACACTTCATGGTGGGCGTGTTCGCGTTGGCGTTCGGATTGGAGACGTATCATCATCATAAGTATCACGGACACGACGACGCGGGCGCGGCGGGGGGCGCGGGCGCGGGTGAGGAGGAGAAGAAGCCGGTGACGGCGGCGAGCGCGCGAGAGCGGGCGGCGCCGGAGCTGGACACGGTGCAGCGGGAGGTTGAGGAGCTCGGGGCGCGCGTGCGGGCGATGCGAGCGGAGATGATGGGACGCGAGTAGATGGTTACAGGTCCGCGGACGCGAGCACGTTGTAAATGAGCCGAGAAGAACTTTTTTGAAGTCGGCGTCGCTCACGTGCGCGATTCTGTTACACACGTGTAAGTCATACATGGCGTCGCGATGGGCGTGTCGAGGTACAAAATTTGTCGGATTGTTGCGCGAGATTAGGCGCCGATGCCGGCGGCGGCGCTACCGTTCAGACGAACCGCCGCGAGCTCACCGCGCACGTATAGGTCGGTCGAAGTCGAGTTCACCCGCTTCGCCGCGTTCATCGGGGGTGCGCTCACGGGGGTATCGCTTCCCTCTCGTTCGTCGCGCTTCGTCCCTCGCTGAGCGTCCTGTGAGCCGTTGTGAAACGTCCCGCGCGCGTCCTCGAAACCGTGTGAGTTCGAGTGAGGCGACAGCGGTTCTTCGTCCTCCGACTCGGTATCGTTCGCCGCGTTCGCGGGCTCAGAGTCGTGTTTCCAAGTCCCACCATCCATGGGTGTGTGCACCCAATACTTGTCTCTCAACGTGTTGCGCCCCGGGTAGATATCAGGGGTTATGACGTTGGCGCCGCCTCGCAACCAGCTCATGCACATCGTGAGACACTGATGCGCCGTCGGCCGCTTGGTTGGATCCTTCTGCGTCGCTAATCGACCTAGTTCTCGAATAAACTCAACCTCCCCAGCGTTTGCCTTGCGCGTGCGTCGGCGCATCTGTTCAATGAGCTGATAACACATCACACCGTAGCCGTACATATCGCTCGAAGTGTCGTACGGCTGTCCGTTTTCTACCTCTGGCGCGCGGTACTTCGGCGGCCCAATCTTCGGCGTCAGTCTGGGATTAACGTCTTCGCGACTCGACGTCGCCACACCCGGTACGATACGCGCGAGACCAAAATCCGTGAGTTTCGCCGTCTGATAATCCTGCAAATAGCGCAAACAGACGTCGAGTTCATCGTCAGTCTCCGACTCACCCGGGCGCCCACCGCTCGCGCGCGCCTCTCACTTCTGCACTCAACCTACCTCCGATATCAACACGTTCCTCGCCTTGACATCCCTATGTACGTGTCCCGCCGCGTGCACCCGCGTCAACGCCCTCGCGACGTCCGCCAAAACCTTCACCCTGTTCGTCTCGTTGACCACCCGCTTGCTCCTCAACGAGTGCGGAACAAACTCCATGACCATGTGACAATCCCCGCGCTCGATGAACGCCCCGTACACGCGCGTCACGTTTGGATGCGCGAACGTCGTCAGATACCACAGATCTCGCTTTAACCCGCTCACACGGTCCGGTCGCGCGTTCGTCGTGACTTTAATCGCCACCGGTTCGCCGAGCAATTCACCGCGAAAAACCTTCCCGAAGGAACCGTCGCCGACTAATCGCCATTGCGAGCGATCGGTGAGGTCGTCGGGGTCGAAGCCGAGCGGGCCGTCGCACGGGATCAACGAGTGATCGGGACCGCGCGGTCGAGGACTCGCGGGCGCCATCGCGGGCGCGTGGAGGAGCGAAGTGACGCGCGAAGGGGGCGGCGGATGGTGGCTGTTGACGTGGAGGGGGTCGTTCACGAGTCGTTAATCATAAAAGCTGTGTAGTGACAGTTGGAGACGCGCCGGGAGGACGCAGAGGGACGAAGCGATTGGCGCGCGACGAAAATGCGGCTGGTTTCGCGCGGTGGTTCGTGCTCGGCGTTCGTGCTTGGCGTTGATTTGAAATCGGCGAGTTAAACCTGCGGACGGGTCTGGACGACGAAGACGGCGCCGCCGCGGATGACGCCCTCGACGTCTTGGGCGGCACCGAGCGCGCGCTCGATCGCCACTCCGGCGCGGGCGACCGCGGTGAGGACGTCGGATCGGGCGTTCCGGTCCCAGATCAGAGCGTCCGAGGCGTAATCTGCGTGATACTCCACGGTGGCGTGCATCGGGACCGATTCGTAAAGACCGGCGCCGGCGTACCCCTCGAGATCTTCACCGTTTGAGTCGGAGCGGAAGATGAGCGTCTGGCACGGGACTCGAAGGACCGTGTTCTTTGATGGATACCCGTGAATGACCGGTTCGCTGACGGCGCCTTCGGGCGATTTTTTCACCGTAAAGCTGAGTGCGCGACCGGGGTAGTTTCCAACCAAGGTCTCGCCCATGCCTTGCACGACTTCGGCGTAGAGCTCGTCCTCTGTACCCGTGCTCGGGTTCACCGTGTGAATCACGAACGCGTGGTCCGCATTGATCACCGGTTGTACGAGCACGGACATGCGAAGGTTGTTGTGATCGAGCCCACGGTTACGCATACTCACGTACGCACGATCGTTCCATTTGGACGCCCACACATCGCAGATCGCTCGCCACGCGAGATCCCACGTTTGGTCGTCCGCCGGCGGTTCGATGCCGCCGCGTTGCATGACGTCGGCGAGCCGCGTCAACATACCAGCCGGCGGGATCAAGCTTCGGACGCACGCTCGACACACCTTGAGAGACGCCGCGAGCGATGTTCCGTTCGAGTCGTCGATCTCGCTCGCCAGTCTCGCCATCGTCTTCGCTTGCTTGGCGTTTTCAGGACACGCCAACACATGCTCGAAGGTACCAAACGGGATCGCCACTGAGACTGGAAGATTGATCCATCCAGGGATGCCACCCGAAGTGAGAGCGTCGCGAAGTGCCTTTGTGTTTCGCGCTTTTGCTCCGACGAGATTCTCACGGAAATCGTCCATGCCGACGGCGACTTCGCCCGCAAAGTCGATTGCCTTTATGTTTATTCTCCCTGCGTCGGATCCGTTCGCTTCGCTCGCCGGAGAGTTTTCGCGGCCGAGACTCGAGTAATCAATCTCTTCGAACGACACGCACTCGTCCGCCGTGATAGATAGCTTGATAGCTTTCTTACTATTCCTTCCAATCTTGTCGAGCACCGTGGGTTCGTAACACGTGGCGAACAAGACGCCGCCATTCCTCGCGCGAACTGCGCTGTGGGACAACACATCCACGGAGGATCCCGTCAAGACGGCGGTCGCTCCTTTCGGAATCTCTTCATCGCCACCCACATGATCGCACACTAGGACGGTTGGCGTCGAGAATGAGTTGTTCATAACCTCCGCGAGCGTTTTGACGTGCAGAACTTCACCCACACACGTCGCCGGGGAGATTATTTGCCACTCGCCCATGTTCGCCTCGCGGCGCAAGTACGGATCGAGTCTCGTGAGCATCAACGAGAGTGCAAAAGCGGGACCACCGCGGATGACTTCTTCGGAGAATAAATCGATCGTCCACTTGTCGCAGTCGCATCGTTTACCGATGGTGCTTGCCGCCGGTTGCATCGCGTCGTGAATCTCTGTCGCGTGCTCTGTGAGAGCGAGTCGAATGCGGTCCACCGTCGCCTTCGCTCGAAGCGCCCATTCGGAATCGCCTGACCTCTGTAACTCTAGAATGCGACGCCAATTAATCAAGCTATAGAGCAAGTCATCGTTCGATGATGGAAGTGACAGACACAGATCCTCGAGCACCATGTCCGTGAGCGTCAACAATCCCTGTGTGTCTGTCACGGCGTCTGAGCCGCCTTGAATCGCTCGGTTACTTACATCGGCGATGGCGAGATCGAGATAGATGAGCTCGCGGCACCACGGCGTGTCCGATGGTTCGGCGAGACCGGCATCTCGCACGCCGTGACGAGCCTCGAGACACGCGTTCACGAGGTTGAAGACATCGGCTCCGCCTTGATTTGCGCATATGTACTCGAGCGCTCTTTGACAGTCGTTTGACAGTCGATCGCGGCACACGTTGAAGCTCTGCGTCAAATCTGCGCCGCCGTGCACGGCTTTCAGTATCTTCAGATAGTTCTTGAAATCACGTATGAGGTTGTCTTTGATTTGAGGTCGCCAGATGGGTTCGCTTCGAACGGGTCGCTCAAAGGACTCAAGACGCTCGCGCGAGACGCCTCCTTCATCAAGCACGCGCCAGTACGCGGACAAGTCACCGTTCGCTTGCAAAAACGCAAGGTATGCCTCGCAGATGACGATATCATCCGGAGTGGTGTTATTGTGCAGTTTTTGGTGCCACTCCTCCATCCAGATTCCCTTGACCTCTTTGATGCCATTCCGATGCATGATGTTTAAGATTTCGTCCCGAATCTGCTGGCCCTGGCCGCTCTCGCCACCTCTGCCGACGGTGCTCAGCATCAGACGAGCCATGTCGCGCAGATGCGGCTGAGACGTGTATATTTCCGCGAGACAATGCGTCAAACGCGACTGCGCGCTGGATAACTCACGCGGCTTAACGTTATAGTTTCTCTGCCACGTCAGCTGTCGCGTGGCGCTGTAGCGAAGCCAAACGAATATTTTTGCCGCCGCCTCCCGTGCCTTGCTCTCGCTCTCCGCCTTGACGCAGTGCTTCTCTAACAACGATGTCGCGAGATTGAAGCGGTGCATCAGAGACCACCAGTTACCGCCGGCTTCGGCTCTGGTGATGGTGTCGATGAGCTCGTCGCTTGCCGTCGATTTGTGCTCCGTCGGGCGCGTGCACGACACGCGATAGTTGGAGTTACCGTTCGACGAATCCTTAAACCACGAGCTGCCACCGACGTTGCGGAACACGAAAGATAATCCCATGAGCTCGTTCGGGCCGTCACCCGGGAGATCAAAAACGAGTCGTTGCATGAACGCGCACTCTCCGAAGCCCTCCTCGTCGACGGATCCACTCATGGACAACGGGAAGCATCCGGTGAAATCTTCCATCGGCGTTTCGCATGCGATCGGACCGACTTCGACAGAGCCAGGCGGGCGAACAGACTCAGGAGGGAGCGCCCACTCCCCGGGCTCGATCTTTGCCGCGCCCCAGTGACACACGAGCGGTTCGAGGGCGTTTGTCGTCAGCACTACTCGACGTCCGACGATTTTTCTCCTCGGTGCGCTCATAGCCTCCTCGTCTCGCCCGCTGCTCTCGAACACCTGCACCAGGAGCTCGCCGTCCGCGAGAGGGGACGTTGAGTCGCTGATGAGTGTCCAACCCTCAGCGTCCGACGTCGCCTCGCGCCAACGCGCGACGGTGCTCGGCGCTTCGGCTTTGGCGCTCCGCTCGCCCTCCGCGCTCGGATCCGTCCGACGAGGAAGCATCGCTCGAATGTCTCGTTCTCGTCTATTCGACACCGGCGCCGGAGCGCTCGCCCGTGTCTCCGCCACCTCCGGCGCCGCCAGAGTTTCCATCGATTCTCCGCCCTCCGCCTCTCCGCGCGCGTTCTCCGCCTCCCTCGCGCTCTCACCGTAACCCCGATCCAACACCACCACATCATCCCCAGGCACCTCCGGCTGTCCGTACCGCCTTCTGATCTCATTCAGCGTCGTTCCACGCGCGCATTCACGCCGCAAATCCTCCCGCGCGCGCTCGAATTCCAGCGCCCGCCAATCCGCGCTCGTATCCTCCGGTTTCCCCGCCTCTTCCCATCGCACGTACGCTCGAATCTGCACCAAATCTCGCGGCACATCGATCGCGTCGAGATCGATCGCCTCTCGCGCGCGCGCGCGATCCCCCGGCGCCACGCGCGCGGCGATCGCCCGTCGTCCGCGCCGCGCCGCCGCCGCCGCATCGCGTCCGCCACCCGCGCCTCGCCCGCCCGCGCGCGACGACGCGCGCGCACCCCGCGTCGAGGTCGACATCGCGCGCGCCGATTCGATCCCTCCACGCCCGTCACGCGCGGGGCGACGACCGATGGGCGCTCGAACGCCCACGACGCGATGCGCGATGCGCGCGTACCGGTACGCGAAAAATGACACGATCGATGCGACAGAGGTACACGCCGTGACACAGCGCCTCCTCGCGGTCGAGCGATGCCGGATCGCGCGCGTCACGCCTCACGCGTCGTCCGTCGTCGACGTCTGTGCCGACGCGTCGTCGTCGCGGTCGCGCGATGTCGCGCGATGCGATGGACGCGTGCGCGCGACGCACGAGACCCTAAACCCTAACTTTAGTATTCACGTCATAGCACACGCGATGGGCTTCACGTGCGCTCGATATGCAATGCGCGCCCCCCGCGCGCGGCGATGGGACGCCCATCGCCGCGGGGTGGGAAAAAAACGCGAGATGGACGCATCGGGGCGCGAATACGACGATCGGCGCCCCGATGCGTCGTCAGCGGTCGCGCGATGACCGTTGCGTGGACGTCCTCGACGTCGCGCGCGCGTCGGTCGTCGACGCGCCGACGTCGAGGGTGGATCGACGATATTCTCGCGCGAGATGTCGCTCCCGACGTACACCGCGGCCGAGGTCGCGACGCACGCCACGGCGGATTCGCTGTGGATGGTGATCGATGACGGCGTGTACGACTTGACGAAATTCGCGTCGTTTCATCCGGGTGGGGCGTCGTTCATCGTCGCGGGTGCGGGTGGGGACGCCACGGAGGCGTTTTACGCGTTGCACCGGAGCGAGATTTTGGAAAAGACGGCGAAGAAGTATAAGATTGGAACATTGGTGGGCGGGACGCGTCGGGAAATTCGCGCGGGCGCGTTGAGCGCGGTGCCGTACGCCGAGCCGGCTTTTTTCCAGGGAGCGCCGTCGCCGTATTACGATGAGTCGCATAAGAAGTTTCGAGCCGCGGTGAGGGCGTTTTATGACGAACACGTGCGACCGGACATGGTGCAGAACGATGTGGCGGGGAAGCCGCCTTCGAAGGAATTGTACGAAAAGTTGGGCGCCGCCGGAATGTTCGCGACGCGGTTACAACCGGGGCCGTGGATGAAGGATTGCGTCGATAACTGTGGGATGACCCTACCTGGTGGGCTCACGCCGGAGCAGTTCGACACGTTTCACGAGATGATCGCGCACGAAGAGTTGGGGAGGTTGGGCGTGCCGGGGTACTGCGACGGCATCGGCGCGGGTTTCGTCATCGGCGTCCCTCCGGTGCTCATGTTCGCCAGACCCGAGTTGCGACAACGCGTCGGTCGTGAGTGTATCATGGGCAAGAAACGAATATGTCTCGCCATCAGCGACCCGTTCGCCGGGAGTGATGTCGCGGCGATCCAGTGCACGGCGACGAAGACGCCCGACGGGAAGCACTACATCGTCAATGGCGTGAAAAAGTGGATCACAAACGGTACGTTCTGCGATTACTTTACCACCGCCGTGCGAACGGGCGGGAATGGTTTTAACGCCCTGTCGCTGCTCTTGATCGAGCGCGGTGAGGGCGTGGAGACGAATCCGATCAAGACGGCGTACAGCCCGGCGGCGGGAACGTCGTACATCATCTTTGAAAACGTCAAGGTTCCGGTGGAGAACCTGCTCGGCCGCGAGGGCGACGGTTTCAAGCTCATCATGCACAACTTTAACCACGAGCGATGGATGATCGTCGCCGGGACGAACGGGGCGATGCGAAACGTCCTCAAGGAGTGCTACACGTTCGCGCATCAACGGAAGACGTTTGGCAAACGGCTCATCGATCAGCCGGTTATCCGCAATAAACTCGCTCGCATGACGTCTCAGCTCGAGGCGGTGGAGTGCTGGACAGAGTCGATCACGTATCAGATGGGAAAGCTCACGCACGCGCAACAAGCGGTCGCGCTCGCCGGTCCGATCGCGCTGCTAAAGTTTCTCTGCACGCGCGTCGCCAACTTTTTCGCCGACGAGGGCGCGCAAATTTTCGGCGGTCGTGGCATCACACGCACCGGAATGGGTCGTGTCATTGAAGGATTTAATCGCGCCGCGAAGTTTTCCGCAATTTTAGGCGGCTCCGAGGAGGTCATGGCCGATCTCGGCGTGAAGCAAGCCGACCGCTCGTTCCCGGCGGACGCCAGGCTCTGACCTCCCGTCGCCGGCGCGACCCACCTTTACGCGCGCCGCATCTCACGCGTTTCATCACCGCGCGCGCGCCGCATCGCGCAGACGATTTTGTTTACTCGTCTCGCCTCGTGTAATCTCACCACTCACTGTAATGATCGCTCGTCCGTCGTCGATCCGTCGCCGTTCCGTCGCGCGCCCCCATGCCCATCAAAACGCGTCGGTTCGTCTCACCCCTCATCCACGCGCCCGGCACTCCGCGCCGCGTCGCCGCGCGCCATGTCTCGCGTCGTCGTCGCGCGCGTCCATCACCCTCGCTCGGTCGCGACGAACGCGAGCAAAAAAGCCGCCCGCAAGGCGAAGACGGTCGCCTCGAAGCGCTCGACCCCGCCGCCGCCGACGGTCGACGTCATCGTCCCGGCGGCGGACGACGCTGCGCCGTCGAACGGCGACGTCGACGTCGTCGACGCGAGGGTGGACGCGTACGGAGGATTAGGATTCGAAAACGACGTCGCGATTCCGTACGGGCCGACGAGCGGGGCGGCGTTGAGAATAGATGAGGTGATGTTATCCGTGGGGGACGTGGACTTGTTGAGCGAGGCGAGCGCGATGGTCATGCCGGGACAGAAGGTTGGATTGGTCGGTGGAAACGGATGCGGGAAATCGACGCTGTTGAAGTGCATCGCGGGAAAGCGAAGCGTGCAGGATGGAGCGATCGCGATCTCGCCCGAGCTCGAGGTCGGGTACTTTGAGCAGACGGCGGTGAGCGGGAGCCAGTTGACGGTGTATCAAGAGGCTCGAGCGCGTATGGATCGAATCAACGCCGCGGAGAAGGCGCTGCGGGAGGCGGAGGCGATGTGCGAGACGGATGATGATAAGGATGCGTGCATGGCGGCGGATAAATTGATGGATTGCTTGGCTGAGTTCGAGGCTGCCGGCGGGTACGAGGCTGAGAAGCGCATCGCAAACGTGCTCGACGGGCTCGGTTTTTCTCGCTCGCAGTGGGGCGTGAAGTGCGATGATCTCTCGGGTGGTTGGCAAATGCGCGTCGCCCTCGCGCGACTACTGCTCTCGCCTGCGGGGTCGGGTGAGAATGGGCTTTTGTTACTCGACGAGCCGACGAATCACTTGGACGAAGCCTCGAAGACGTGGCTCGCGAAGTGGATCAAGGATAGCTCGGCGACGACCATCATCGTGAGCCACGAGGCCGAACTCTTGGACGGCGCGTGCACGCACATGGCCGAAGTTCGTGGACGAGGTCTCCATTGGTACGTTGGAAACTTTACAAAGTTCTTGGAAGCGAGAGACGAGCGCATCGCCCTCGCGAAGGCGACGTACGAGAAGCAACAAGCTGAAGAGGCTGAGCTCAAGGATTTCATTCGCCGATTCTCCGCGAACGCGAGTAAATCCACGCAAGCGCAATCGCGCCAAAAGCTTTTGGACAAACTGCAGAAGGAAATGCGCAAGACTGTGTCCGCGGCGACGGCGACGGTTTCCTCCGATGCCGCCGGCGACGCAAGCAAGATGAACTTGAAATTGACGAAGCCACCGCCGTCGAACCAAGTGCAACTCAAGCTGAATGACGCCGTCCTAGGATACAAGCCGGAAACACCGATCTTGAGAGGGTCATTGACTCTCGAGCGGGATATGCGAGTGGTCGTGCTCGGACCTAACGGGGCGGGAAAATCCACCTTGCTCAAATCCATCTCCGGAACCATGCCGCTCATCTCTGGCGAGCGCGAGATCACCGACGAACGAGTGAAACTCGGTGTTTTCTCTCAAGATTTGGCGCAATACTTGCCCAAGGAGAAGACTTGTCTCGAATATGTACTTGATGTCGCTCGCGAAGACGATCCTCTTTGCGTTGAACAATTCGGCCGTCAAGCCTTGGGCGCGCTCGGCATCACCGGAACCATGGCACTTCGAAAGATTGGAAGCCTCTCGGGGGGCGAAAAGGCTAGAGTCGCGCTCGCCGCATTTGTGCTTCAACCGCGTAACTGTCTCTTGCTCGACGAGCCTTCGAACCACTTGGACGTGGGCGCCGTCAAGGCTTTAACCGACGGTTTGCAAGACTGGAACGGCTGTTTGTTTGCCGTCTCGCACAACAAGGCGTTTTGCGAATCTCTTCAACCGACCCACGTCATTCGCGTCAAAAATGGTGAATTCGTCATGGAAAACTGCTATGGTTTGACAGATGCCGATTTCGAACACGAGGAACAAACTGGCGACGCGACAGCCATGGCCGCCGCCGCCGCCGCCGCCATTGAAGAAGCTGTCTCGGTGGAGACTGAAACTCTCACTCCGGCTCGTTAGTAGCGAAGTGATAAACAAAGGGTGGTATGTAATAAATATTTACAGCGTGCGTTATGTGTACTAAGGGTACCTGCTATCTCGGTAAGGGCACGTGAATGCGGGCCACCTCCGCGGCGCTCTCCTTGTCCTCACAAATCAACGTCGGTCTCTTCTCCGCCTCGACTGAGTCGGGGTGATCGAGGGTGTAATGCAAGCCTCTGGACTCTTTGCGCATCAGCGCGCATCGTAGCATGAGCCTTCCAGCGACGAGTAAGTTACTGATCTCGGCCAACGCCATTGTGTAGCCCTTCATCGAGGTCGCTCGCTCGTCGCACATCACTGCGATTTCGTTCAGTCTACCGAGCGCGTGCTCCATCTCCGCTGTCGTTCGCACGATGCCCGCCGCGTTCCACATAATTCTCTGAATCTCATGGCGCAACTCTCTCTCCCACGTATCGTGACCACTCGTAAAATTTTTAATAACTGCGCCCCGCGCGAGTTCTCTGCAGTGTTCCTCGATCCACTGGCACAAAGCGTCTTCGTCGACGTCAAGCGCGGGAAGTTCCTCTCGCAGGGCGTCCATCTCGTTCGACACGGCTCGCACGGCACGGCGGGCGAAGACGATACCCTCGAGCAATGAATTACTCGCCAGTCTATTCGCACCGTGTACGCCGGTATACGCGACTTCACCACACGCGAACAACCCGCGAAGGGAGGTTTCGCCGTTTTCATTCGTCGAAACGCCACCGCACATGTAATGTGCCGCCGGAACGACGGGAACGCGTTCGGTCGTCATGTCCAACCCTCGTCGATCGAGCTCCGCGGCAACACCTGGGAAATTCAGACGGACTTCGTCGGGGTCGACGTGCGTGATGTCCAGAAAGACGCATGGAGACTCGGTGCGCTTCATCTCGCTGTCGATGCTCCGAGCAACGACGTCCCGAGGCGCAAGCTCCTCGCGTTCGTCGTACCTAGACATAAATCGTTCGCCGTGAACGTTGTACAGTCGTCCACCGTGTCCGCGCACGGCCTCGGTGATCAAGAATGCGTTCTCGTTCGGCGAGAGCTTTGCGGCGCCGCCGACGCCCGTGTAGAGCGCCGTCGGATGAAACTGCATGAACTCCATGTTCGCCACGGTGACTCCGGCGCGGGTGGCCATGGCGATGCCGTCGCCCGTGCACACCATTGGATTGGTCGTGCTGGGAAACAAGTGCCCGGCGCCTCCACACGCGAGCACGGTGGTGGAGGCGACGAACGTCTTGGTCGTCCCTCGCGTCTCGTCCACGACGAGCGCGCCCGCGCATCGCTCACCGTCTCGCGTTCGCAAGAGTTCCATCGCGAAGTGGTACTCGTAGAATGTGATATTCGGATGCGCCTTGGCCGCCTCGAGCAGGGCGCGCTCGATCTCTTTGCCTGTCATGTCGTCCGCGTGCACGATGCGATGACGGCTGTGCCCGCCCTCTCTCGCCAAGTGCAACTCTCCGCGCTCGTCTCGAGTGAACTTCGTCCCTCGAGCGATGAGATGCTCCACCGCTTCTTTCGAATCCTCAACCATCGCACGAACCGCGCTCTCGTCGCATAGAAACCCACCCGCCACGCACGTGTCCTTGACGTGTTCCTCCACCGAGTCCAGCTTATCCACCACCGCGCTGATCCCCCCTTGCGCGTACGACGTCGACGCGTCGAACGCCCGGGCCTTGGTCACGACCGCGACTTCGCCCAATTCGGCGGCATCCAGGGCGTAGGATAACCCCGCGATCCCGCTTCCGATGACGCAGAAATCCACTCGCCGCGCCTCATCCGCCCCGCGCGCCCGCGCGCGTCCAGTCCCGCCGCGCGCCTTCACCGCGCGCATCGCCGCGCGCGTCGCCTGTCCCGACGCGCTCGCTCGCTCTCGACTTCCCCACTCGACGTCATCCCGCGCACGCGCGACGTCATTCACCCCGTTCGCGTCCTCGTCCACCGACGGCGCGCGCACCGCCCGCGTCGCCGTCCCGTCGCGTCTCGGATCTCCCCCCGAGCGCCCCCAAACCGACCCCATCGCCGCCCTCGATCGCGCCGCCCCCCCGCGCACGACCCAACCCGCGGGACGACGTCGACGCGGGGTCGATATCGACCCCACCGGCGAGCGCACGATCGCCATCGCGCGATGCGCCGTCGCCGTCATCCGATCGCAATCACCCGATCGGGATCACCGATCGCGTCGCCGTCCCCTCGCCCGCGCGCGCGCGCGCGCGGCGTCGTCCGCGGCGTCGTCGGCGACCCGTCGCCGCGCGCGCGCGATGCGCGCTCTCGCGCGCGCGGTCGGCGCCGCCGCGACGACGCCGACGGCGGCATCGCGCGGCTGATGTATCTACATGGCGTGCACGCACACCCGAGTACGCGTCCCCGTGTGTCCGGTGACACCACACGACCCCCACCGTCGATGAGTCCCACATCGACACCGCGGGCGAGCGATAAAAAACCCACGGCGCGACGGCGGCATCGCGCGGCTGATGTATCTACATGGCGTGCACGCACACCCGAGTACGCGTCCCCGTGTGTCCGGTGACACCACACGACCCCCTCTGTCGATGAGTCCCACATCGACACCGCGGGCGAGCGATAAAAAACCCACGGCGCGACGGCGGCACCGCGCGGCTGATGTATCTACATGGCGTGCACGCACACCCGAGTACGCGTCCCCGTGTGTCCGGTGACACCACACGACCCCCTCTGTCGATGAGTCCCACATCGACACCGCGGGCGAGCGATAAAAAACCCACGGCGCGACGCCCGCGGGCGTCTCCGCGCGCGACGCCGGCCGTCGCCGCGCTCGGCGGCGCGCGCGATGGCCGAGACGCGCGCGCGGACGCTCGGAACGGTGCGAAAAAAATCAACGCCGCGACCGACGGGCGCGCGCGGCGATCTGCGCGCGCGCGGCGGGGTGACACCGCGGAAGATGTCGACGACGTGGACGCCGCGCGGAGAATGTGAAATATCTTCTCGACGCGTCGACGATGGGTGGGCGGCGAGGCGACGACGATGGGTCCACGGCGCGGGCGCGGGCGCGGTGGGGGTGATTCGTCGATGCGTCGGCGCGCGCGCGCGGTGGGGGAGGCGTCGACGAGGGGTCTCCGCGTCCGAGACTTTGAAGCGTCGCGGGCGCCCATCGGAGGGCATTTTTTACTGACGCGCCGCGCTTCGCGCAGGGAGCAGGTGACTTGGTTCAATTGTGTCAGGGGATACGGATACGTACGACCGCACGATGGTTCTGAAGACGTGTTCGTGCATCAGAGCGAGCTCCAGATGGACGGTTTCAGGAGCGTGTGGGAGGTGCGACTCCAACAGGCGGTTACGCGAGAAAGAGCGCCTCGGGGCTTGATTTTCGCATTTATTTTTTCCAGAACCCCTCGCCGCGCGTGGAAACCTGACCGCACTCGCGCTCGACGAAATCGCAGGGTGATGAGATCGAGTTCGAGCTGGACGACGACGAGCGCCGACGCGCGAAGAACGTCACGGGCCCGGCGGGCGCGCCGCTGAAGAAGACGCCCAAGCAGTTTTACCGCCGCGTGCGAAAAGATGGAAACGAGCAATCGCGCCGGCATCAGGACGCACCGTGAGCGCTCTGAAAATGACGTTGTTTGATTTATATTGTAGTGCGTAGAGATTCACCCGAGCCGATCGATCGTCGGCTTCGCCGACGCGCGAACGCGCGCGCGCGAACGCTTCCGTTCGATGATGTCGAGTCATGACTCGGCATTGACCCTCTCAGTACAAACCGTTCGAGCTCGAGCGCACGATTCGTCGACACTTCGCCGCATGTACGCCGCGCGTGGGCGCCCCCGGCGCCACCGCGCGCTCGCCGACGACCCCCTCGCCCCCGTCGACGGCGTCGCGGGCGTGAGAGCGAGCGAGCTCGAAGAAATCGACGAGAATGTCCTCGTGAAGCGCAGCGCGAGCGCCTCACGCCGCGCGCACGGCGCGCTCGTCCATCGGGAAGGCGGGTTCATGCACGCGCACGACGGCTCTCCGATCTCACGCGTGACCTCGATCGCGAGACCGTGGGAGGGCGCGATCGGGAAGATCGCGCACGGCGACGCGCGGGACGCGGCGGCGGCGACGACGAGCGCGACGTGGCGCGAGAGCGCGCCGAGGGACGATCGGTCCGCCGGGACGACGTGGGAAGAGGGCGTGTATAATAATATGAACGAGGCGGTGCGGTTCGAGACGTTGTTGGCGACGACGAGCGCGGGTGGGGAGGTGTTCGTGTCGAGGTGTTGGCGAACGACCCGGACGCGCGAGAGGGGCGGAGTCGAGGTCATGCGGGCGATTCGGTTGGACGATGGGGAGCTGGCGACGTGCGTGGCGAGCGACGAGGATAACATCGTGGTCGGGACCGATCGCGGGCGCGTGGTGTTTTTGTCTTGGGCGAGAGGGGAGGAGGGAACGAGCGCGACGTGTCGAAGGACGGAGAGAGACGGAGCCGCGGCGAGCGTTTCGTGGTGCGCCGACACGGGGACGATCGTGATGCGTTTTGACACCGGCTCGGTGTGCGCGATGCGAATGAATGATCAGGGTGAGATCGTCTCGAGGAATTGGTTCGAGGCGTTCCCAGAACCGGCGGTGTTCGCAGCATTTCATCGCGGAACGGGAAAGTTGGCTCTGGGCGCCATGGATGGCGAAGTGCGCGTCTACGACGACGCGTTAACTGCGGACGCGTCGAGGCCGAAGATGATTTTCAGACTAAGTGCGTGGGGATTTACGTCGGAGGACACCGGTGCCGCCGCTTTTGGCTCTTGGTCGCACGATGGGAAGGCTCTCGCTGTAGCGTGGAGGCGCCGCGGCTTGGCGATTTGGAGCGACTCTGGATGCTTACTCATGTGCACTCTACACCACCACGGACGCGCCGAAGGCGCCGTCGTGCCGAGAAAATCGTTCGTCGACATCGATGAGACGCCCGAGGTCGGCGCGTGTCTCGGGACTCCGGCCTGGGGCATCCTCGGTTACTCGCTGTACGTCGTCGTCAACGGATATGAGGGAACGCATGTCGAGGAGTACTCACTGGCGAGAAGCTGTCCAAAACCCTGTGTGCCCCCGCGAGCGTCCGAGCACGCCACCGGCGATGAGTCATCGCTTCTCATCGGTGACGATCGAGTGTTCGTCATCGCCTCGAACGCGATGGGGAAGTTTTGCATGCGCCAAGAGATTTGTCCAACAGAATACGTCGAAAGCCAATGGCCGATGCGTGTCGCGGCGATGAGCCCAGACGGCACCCGCGTCGCGGTAGCCGGCTCAAGAGGCTGCGTGGTGTACGATACTGATTTTGAGGAGTGGATCATGCACCCCGAACTCGAGCACAAGATCGCGACCGAGGTCATAGACTTCACATGGGTCTGCCCAGCTCGAGAGGTTTCGGGAAGGTGTGCGTCCATCCTGGCGCTCGTCTCTTGCGTTGGAAAGCCTCGCGTGTTCGGCACCAAACTCACATATGCTGTGAATTTCATCTCAGACGGTGGCGCGGGTGCTCAAATTGCAACCTTACCGCTTCCGTCGCAGCCCACGCACGCATGTTCGTGCGGCGAGTACTTCGCCGTCTCTTTTGCCAATAGCGAACTGGCGATATACGAAGTCAAATCTTCCGAAGAAGGCGTCGTCAGCGCGCATCCGGTTCGTGAGAGCAATGGGCAGCGACGGCGCGTGACGCTAGAGAATGGTACGCGCGTCTCGGGCTTTTGTCTAGTACGTATGGCGTCCTCTGCATCGTCCGACGACACCGTCCAGGCGCCGAGTGAGTGTGTGGTATTGACCAACGCAAACGAAGTGATCGTGGTCGACCTCACCGGTGACTACAAGTCCGTTAAGATACTGGAAGACGTCAAAGAATTCTGGGTCTCAGACTGCTCTGTCTCGAATCAAAATGGCTTTGTGAGCGATGGCGACAGCGGCACGAGCTCATCGGACGAGCTGCCCACCGATCGAGGATGCATCTTCGCGTACGGCTCGTACGGTATGCGCATCTGCTACTTCCCCAAGGATGGCTTACGGGAGATTTTCACGCGCGGGTCGACGCTTTGTGACGTAGAAACTGCGTCGAACAATCCTGAACTCGAGTTCGATCGTGAGTCATACCCACTCGCCGTCAGTCTGAAGCTTAACCGCATCATCGGCGCCAAACAAAAGCTGTCCTTCGCGGATTCGTATGAGACGCCGTATTTTCTCATATCTCCGAGCGTGCACACCGTCGTACCATACGTTCTGCGCAAGCTACTTGGGATGGAACAGTTTACTACTGCGCTTCGATACGCTCGAGCTGCGCGCCGACAGACACCGCATTTCGCACACGCGCTGGAATGGCTGCTGTTCACGGCGGTGGAGAACGCGGGACGCGACATCACTTCGCAGAAGGTCTTGAAGCAATCCGTCGCGTTGCTCGCAGAGTTGCCGAACTACCTGGATATCATCGTCAGTGTTGCGCGCAAGACGGAGAACACGCGGTGGGATTGCCTCTTCAAGTATGCCGGAAGTCCGAGTGATTTATGCGCGAAGGCGATGAAGGCGAATCAAGTGCGCGTCGCCGCGTGTTACATTCTTGTCGTCGATAAGCTTGAGGGAGAGGTGATGGGGCGGGAGATCGCGTTACGAGTGATGGAAAGCGCGCTCGAAGCACACGACTACAAGCTCGTAGAAGACCTCATCAAGTTCCTCCTCAAGCCAGTCGATGGAAGTCAGTTATCGCGGCAAGGTGATCGGAAGGGACTCTTTAGGCGCGTGCTCAACGTCGTCGTGCCTCCTCCGAGAAGCGTGACGGATTACTCGAACAAAACCGACCCGTTCGCTCTCGATGATCGGGAACAGGCGCTACTGAAGTCACACCTTGACGTCCTCGCACGCGCCAAGGATGTGGTGTCGATGGGCGCATTCATCGCGGACACATCCTTCGACGGCGTCTCGTACATGATGCATGAAGCCGAGGAACCGGGCGAGGCGTTCATCGCGGACTTCTACGAGGCGATCAGATGCGCGGTGCAGTGTCTTCGAGATCGAAAATCTCGCAACAACAAGACGAAGAGCCCTCGGGCGAGCGCCTCGGCCCTCATAGACGCGACATTTGAAGCCGGATCGAAGAGCGACGAGATGTACGTCGCCGCGCTCCTGGACGTCACACGTACTGCGCAATGCACGGACTGGTCTCTACTCATCGCCACCGTTCTCGGTCGCGGAGATGTCTTGGCGGATTACTTTGAGAAGGAGCCTGCTCTGCGAGACCCGTGGCTTGGCATCGCGAGACGTTTCAGGGACGAGTCCAACGACGCGCATTCTGTTCGTCACTTTTCGACAATAATCCACGACATAGAGCGGCTCTCAACGGGCGCCGCGTAGACTTAGGAATAGTGATTCGATATATATTACGACAATTATTGACGACGTAGCATGAAAACGATCGGCGTGAGCGACTTAACGCTCTAAGCTTGATTTTCAATGAAGCTCGTCACGACGGTCTTGATTTCTTCCTTGCGATCGGCGAAAGAAATACCAAACTTGGCCTCCATGTCTTTACGGATAGTCTTCATGGATACTTCGCTCATATCGGCGCTTGCGAGCATGGTGCGAATCGCGCTGGCAAGATCCTCAGCGCTCGGCGCGGGTTTTGTCGGCTGCTGCGCGGCTTGTTCCGGTTGCGGCGTCTGTTCCAAAGGTTTTGGTTGTGTAGGCTCCACTGGCGCCGATTTGGGCGTCGGAGGCGCCGGCTTTGGAGCATCTGACGATTTTGGCGCTTCTTTCGCGGGCGCGGGCGTCGGTTTCGGCTTCTTCGGCGCAGGATTCTTCGCGGTGAACTCTTCGTCGGAATCCTCTTCGTCCTCGGATTCTTCTTCTTCTTCTTCTTCTTCTTCTTCTTCTTCTTCTTCTTCTTCTTCTTCTTCCTCCTGCTCCTCCTCTTCTTCGTCATCTCCGTCTTCTTCCGCTTCTTCCTTACCCGTTAGCTCGACAATCTTCTTCTTCAGCGCCGCGTTTTCCGCGCGCAGCTTTTTAATCAAAGCCACGTGTTTCGCCAACCCGCCGCCGCTCGCTGCGTCCTTCTTCGCCGAAGTCGCACTCTTCGTCGTCCGCTGCCGATCCTTTGCCTTCTTCTTTTTCTCCGCCGCCTCCGCGAGCGACTTCTTCCCACTCGCTTTGGGCGCGTCCAGGAACGCCATCAACCGCGCGACTTGCGACTCCTTCTTCGCCTCCGCGCCGCTCCCTCGCGGGACCTCGAACAAATCCAAAATCTCGTGCAACGTTTCCTTATACGCCCGCATCAACAAATCTTCCTTCACAGCGCGCTCGCCATCGCTCTCGAACGTCCATCCCGAGAACTCACCGATGTCCCGCTTCACCGTCAGCTGTCGCGGCGTCCCCTTGTACAGGACGCGATAGATGAATTTCAAAATGTCCTCCTTTCTCGAAATCTTCGACAAGCGAAACGCGACGTTCGGGATCTCCGACAGCTTCGTCCCCTTCCCGCGGCCGATCTCAATCTTACTCGCGCGCGCGGGGGCGACGTCGACGACGAACGTCTCGACCGCTTTTCGCGCGCGTTTCCCTCGCCCGCGGCCGTCGGATCCGTCACCCATCGCATCGCTCGGTGCGCGCACCGCGTCCATCGTCCGCGCGTTCACGCGCGTCCCGTCGACGGTGTCCACGCGCTCGCGCGGGCGGTGGCGCGTCGACGCGTGCGGCGTCGCGGCGACCGAGCGATGGTTTTTTTTTAAACATTCAAACGCGCATCCATCACCTCGACCGGCGCATCGTCGACGCGCTGCGGCGCACCGCGGCGCGCGACGCGATCGAGGGATGTTTCGTCGCGCGTGGGCGTTCGTGCAGACGTACCGGGCGCAGACGCGCGCGCTGGAGCGCATCAGGCGCGAGCGCGAGCGCGTCGAACGTCAGCTGGAGGAGCTCGCGACGGCTGAGCGGAGGAACAGGGCGAGCGAAGCGGCGCTGGGCGAGCTGTTGAAGCGCTCGACGGCGCGGACGCGACGAGACGCGGTGGAGACGTCGAAGATCGATGCGAAGACGAGCGAATTGACGGAGACGTTGGCGGAGGCGAGCATGAAGCACGTGCGGGAGACGATGGCGACGTTGGAGGCGGCGGCGAAGGCGCAAGCGCGGACGAGCGCGGACGCGGTGACGCGCGAGTTTGAATCTGGACTAAAGGAAAAGGAGAAGAGGAAGGAGAGATGATCGCGAGAGCGCGACGGGGCGGGTATCAGCGCGAGCGTCGGTCGTGCGTTCGGTTGAAATCTGTTGTAACATTAGGATTTTAGGTGCTCGCTGACGCGCGGAACCTCCTCGCACAAAAATTGACGTTCATCACTCGTTGCTCGGCTTGGTGACGCGCATGGCGGGCTTGGAGAGCAAACGACTGGTACCACGTCGCAAGCCCTCGATTCCCGTGATCGGTTTGGGGCGCTCACTTGCTCCGGTGGCGGGACTGGAGAAGCGCATGTGCTTCACCGGGCGTTCGGCTGACGGACTTCCTGGCGGCGCCGTTGAGTTCACTTCACTCAAAATACGACGCGCAGTGGATCCCGGCGTCTTCGCTGGTGTTCGAGCGCTCGCCGGGCGTTTCGCCGCTGGCGTTCGACCAGGCGTCTTGGCGAGCGGAGGCGGATCCACGCCTTTCAACTGTGCGAGCTCGGATTTCGCCGCGTGCAGCGCCACCTCGAGAGACTCAATGCGCGAACGTGCCGCGGAGTATTTGGTCTTCGTCGTCGCCGCTGACTGCTTCACTTCGTCTACCTCGCTCGTGAGCGCCGCCATCTTGGCTTCCATCTCCTGAGCGCGTTCTTCTGCTCGCTTACGAGCCGCCTTTGCCGAGTCCAAAAGGCGGGCATCGGGTCTCGTATGCGCTTCTTCGTCGCCCGTCTCTGCCTCGAGCGCCCCGCCTCGCGCGAGAAGAAGCTTATGCTGAAGATTGCAAATCTCTTCGTCCTTCGATGCGAGTTCTTCCTGGAGTTTGCGAATCTGACCTTGCGCGTTTCCAGCCGCGGCGAATTCAGCCGTAGCGGTCGACTTGGCCTGAGAGATTTCTTCCTTCGCCGCAGCGAGCTTTCTCTCCGCGTTTCGAATGTCTGCAGCGAAGGCGTTGCTGAGCAGACTCTTTTGCTCCTCAAGGGCGTCTTGCAGGGTGATCGTATGCTCTTCCAACGCGATCGTGTTGCCCTCAGCCTCGACTCGCATCGCGAGCTCTCGCTCAAGCTCGGCGATTTGCGATTTGTACTCTGCCTCCAACTCTTCCATCGCCTTCATATGCTCCTCGTTCATAGCCGCAAGCTCCAAAGTATGGGCCTCCGAGTTCGACGACACGCCCTCGCTTCGCTCGAGTGCGCTCGCGAGCTTTTCTTCGAGCTCTGCAGTCGCTTCCGCGTGCTTGTGCTCGACTGCCGCGATTGCTTCAGCGTTCGAAGCGCTGATCTTTTCAATCTGCTCAGCGAAAGCTTGAGCCTGCGCGGCGAGTTTTGATGCCTGCGCGTTGATCATATCAGCCTTTTCGACGTCGAATTCCTCTCGAAGCTTCGAAATCGCGCGAGCCTCTTCATCTCTGAGTGCGTTGGCGCGTTGCTCGTGTTCAGAGCGCAAGCGGACCATTTCGTTCTGGAACTTTGCCTCAAGTTCCCTCGCTTGTTCCGCCAGAGCGGAAGCGTGCGCCTCGCGCTCGGCGCTGATGTCGCTCTCGACTGCGCTCTTCGCGCTCGCGATCGCGGCGTCTCGTTCGCTAATCAACGCTTGCATCTCGGCTTCGTGCGCTCTCTTCAATGTCGCCGTTTCCTCAGAGTGACGGGTGCTCAACTCGTGCACGCGCTTCTCGCTCGCGGACTCGTGTTTCACGCGCGCCGTCTCCATAGTTTCTTCATGTTTGCGCTCGACCTTGGCCAATTCCTCTTGAAGATTTTCTTCAGCTTTTTGCACGACGGCCGCGAGTTCCTCTTTAGCCTTTGAGAGCTCTGACTCAGCCTTCGCAAGCGCGCGGGCGGTCTCACCGGAAGTCAAGTCCGCGTTCGCGACCGCGGCCTCGGCTTGTGCGAGCCGAACTTCGAGTTCAGCCTTTGCCTTGTCGGCTTGGCTCTTGTATGCCGTGAGTACCTCCAATTTGGAGAACATTTCTTCCATGATTTCCTTGTTCTCTTCAAACGTCGCCTGGACACGCGCCCGCTCCGCGTCTGCCACCTCTTTGGCCATTTTGTGTTCATTTTCTAGAACCTCGGCGGCGAGAAGTGCCGAACGCGCGTTTTCGGCAACTTCCTCGCACTGAACGGCGCGGCGTTCGGCTGCCTCGGCGTTTGATTCGAGAAGCTTGTTGCGGGCATCAACCTCGTCCACGAGCTTGAGCGCTTCAGCCTTTTCTTCCAATGCCCTCGCAGTGAGCTCACCCTCTGCCGCGACGAGCTTCCGAAGATCCAACAACTCGGCCTCGATCGTCGCCAGACGTCCGCGATTCGCCGAACGCTCGTTTTCGGCTTGAAGGCGATCGGCCCGCTCTTGCAACGCCGCGAGCTCGATGCGAACGCGAACAACCTCCGGCGGGTGCTCGTTTTGCTTTCTTAATTCCTCGATCTCCGCACTGATGGTTTCTGGTGAGAGCTCTTTCCTCTTCAACGCTTCGTCGCGCAATCGAATCACCATCTTCGCGGATTGTAAATTCTTGTCCAAGCACGCGCACAGCTCCTTCGCGCGCTCTAGCTTTTCCTCAAGTCGCGCGCGCTCCTCTTCGCTCTCCTTGGCCGCAGCCGCGGAGGCACGACTTGCCTTCGCCATGACCGCCTCAAGTTCAAGAATTTTCGCTCCGGCGTCGCCACCATTCCCGTTGCCACCGCCCTCGGCGAGTAGCGCTCGGAGTCGTCCAACCTCCGCCGCAAGCTCATTCATCGAACCCTCGGATTCCTCGTTCATTACGGCTGCAACCTTTACCAACTTGGCGCGCTGGGCGAACTTTAGTGTCGACATCGTTTCCTCGGAGTTGACGTGCGCGGGAGAAACGCACGCGAGCAGGGTGCATCTCGCGCGCCCACCGAGTGCGTCTTTGAGCAAAAACGTCAACTTTGAGTCGCGATACGGGACGTGTCGCTCCTTGCCATCGGCCACGTCCACGAGCGCCTTGATGACATTACCCAGCGCGCTGAGCGACTTATTTATCGCACTCGCCTCCTTCAGACGATCGCCAGCCGCGTCGGTGGACTTCTGTCGCTCACTTCCGGCCAAATCGACCAAATGCAAGAGGGCACTCTTCTTCGTCGTGGGCGCCCCGGCGTGCGCGCGAGTTCTCGACTCGACCGAGATCGTGAACACGCTGTGCGAACGCGAAGAATCAGCGTTCATCTTCGTCTGACCCGTCGTGCGATTCGCCGCGCCTCGCAGGAAAGTCTCGTACGTCTGCTCCGCGCCGTGCACGCGCTCCTCTCGACAGTTTTCAACAAACGTCCCTCTCTTTGCGTCCTCTCGCACGTTCGGCGCGTTCACGTGATCCTGATCCTGCGCCACCAAAAGATCCCTCAACGTCTCGTTATAAATCTCCAAGTACGAGCACTTGACCTCGATCTCGCAATCACCGCCGTTCTCGCTCGCCGCCCGTCTCGCCTCCTCGCACCGCTCGAACAATCGCGCGACGCATCGAGGGATCAATCCCGCGTGCGCGTCGTCCAATCCACCCTCCTCCGCGCCCCCATCCTCATCATCACTCATTCGCACGTCGCAATCGCTCCCGTCACCGCTCTCAATCGCCTCCCTCGCGCCCTCGATTCCTTGCATCGTGTACGTCTTTCCCGCCCCCGTCTGTCCGTACGCCAGCACGCACCCGTGGTACCCCTCCACCACGCCATCGACGACGTCTCGACCGACGCGCTGGAATATCTCTTCTTGCGTCACCGCCTCATCGCACACGTGATCGTACGCGTAACACGACGATCCCTTGACGCTCTCGCGCGCGTTCGAGCGATTGTGCAGCGTAATCGCTCGCTGCTCGTGCACCGTCAACGCTTTCGCGTACCCGCTCGCGATCTCCCGCGCGTTCGGCGGACGCACGCGCACGAGCACGCGCACGGTGTCGACGCTCGTCGTCATCGTCGTCGGGGCCCCGGTCGAGCGCGCGCGGGTCGTCGACGCGTCGGTGAGTGCGACGGATGCGAGGGGGAAGAAGACGAACGGTTTTTTCACCAGCGACGCGCATCCGGGTGATCGTCGAGGGATGTATTGGAAGGCGAAGGGTCAGGGACGGAACGCGACGCGCGTGACGGCGATGAGGGCGAACCGCGCGCCCCAGGACGCGGCCGTGCGAAGGGCGTCGAGGGTGTGGTCGCGCACGGTTTCTGTGGTGCGTTTGCCGCCGTCGGAGGCGACAGCCGCGAGGGCCCAGGCGACGACGGCGCCGTAGACGGCGTCGCCGGAGAAGACGGAGACGCCCGCGCCCAGAGCGCTCGCGCCGAAGGCGGAGAGGAAAGCGAAGGCGATTTGAGTGTCAATCGCGCACGTCTTCGCGACGTGCGAGTTGACGTTCACCAGGGCGGCGCACGAGATCCACCCGAAGTGTAAGGAGAGCGGCACGCGCGTGGTCCAGAAGAGCGCCTCGGATGGAGAAATCGAACCCGCGCCGCGCAACGCCCGCGTCGCGCCGCCGAGGGCGAACGCCTCGGTGATCAACAAAGCGCTGGATACCCAAAAGTGTCGAGGTTTTTTCGCCCACGGTCGAAAGGCGACGCACCAAAGAGATTGTAAACCGCACGCGACGGCCCAATACGGCGCCGCCGCCGCGACTCTTTCGTCACCCCCGAGCAACGCGTGCGCCGTCATCGCCATCTCGCCCGCGTAAATCACCCCCCAAATCGCGAACGCCCACCCCGCGGGCGTGAACAGCGATCGGAATTCGCTGTCCAACGGGACCCCGTGCGCCTTTTCTTCTGGTTTCGCCCGCTTCGCCTCCGCCGCGCGTTTTTGCATCTCTCCGTCGATGCGTCCGGGCGCGCTCACGCTCGCAACGTTGACGCCGTACGCCAAAGCGACGACGACTTTCCACGGTTGAGCGCCCGCGATCGCATTGGCGGTCAACGAGGTGATCCTAGAGGTGATGACACGAACGCCTCGGGTCAGTCTTGACGTTGCGCGCGCGCCGCGTTGGGTGTTTGCCCCGACGTGCACACGCACCATGGCGCGATCTTCGCGACGCCGATCACGAGACCCGCGGCGCCAGCGGTGATGAGCGCGGCGGCGACGTCGCGCGGCCCGTCACGCATGTCGAGCGAGTCGGCGAGTGAGGCTCGTAACTGGTGGTTTGCTTGCGCACGGTGTCTTGATACAAATCTCTTCTACTCGGCAAAGATGGATTTCAGGCTCGGGAACGGATCCATCTTGGAGAGAACGACGACGCGATTCTTGTGCGAGATGTATCCCTTGATGAATTTCCTAAATATGAGATTGGCGACGATGCACTCGACCTCGTCGAGGTCGACGTCGTCGGCGCCGCACCAGTGCAACGCCGTTTGGAACTTGGCCAACGCGACTTGGTTCGCCTTGGCGGGATCCATTTCGCCTTGAATCGCGTGGATCTTCTTGAACAACGTTCTATACACCGACATGCGCAGCTTCTCGAGGAGTAAGTACGTCCCTTGTTTGATGAAGGTTGACTCGTTTGAGCCAAGCGCCGAGTTGAGTAAGCGCGCGTCGCCTCGACGCATCGCCTCGGTGACGTCGGCAAACTCACGCAGGTCGTACTTTTGCAACAGCTCCTTCGATGGCAGCGTTCCTAGAATCATCTTCACTGGAATCAAGTACTGTAAGATCAAACGCACGTTCTTCGCGCTCTTAGCGTGACAGTGCGCGAACGCGTACTCCAGGTGCGTCGCCGCGCGTTCGTACGAGTCCTCAAACACCGCGAGTCTCCCGACATAGAAGTTATACGTCACGCGCTCCGCCTTTGGAAAAGATTCAAACGGTAAAAAGGTCGGTAAATTCACCGCGTTGATCAGATTCTTGCACAGATGCAACGCGTTCAGGCGAAAGTACACCTTGAACAACCCGTTCACCACTCGCAACTGCGGCGTCTTCTTCTCCGGATTCGACGTCTGCGACACCGCTCTGTACACCAGCATCAACGTCGACCCGCAATCGGCCAACTTACTCGGCCGCTCCCCTCGCGCTCGCAACGCCTCGTCTGCCATCACCGCCACCCTCCGCGCGTCGTCCGCCGCTCTCGTCACCGCCTCCGTCATCCACCCGCCCTCGTCGTCCCCCCTGAACGCCTTCACCAACGCCTTCGTCCCCAGAGCGTGCGCCTCGTACGCCTCCGCCATCGTTCGCGCCTCCCCCATCAACGCTCTCGCGCGCACGAACCCCCCACACGCGTCGTCCCAGGGCGTTCGCGCCCCGCGCGCGCGCAGCGCCCGAGGCGCCGCGTCCGCGTCCGCGTCCCGCGCCACAAAATCCACCGCACGCGCGCACGCCGAGTCGCTCGCGAACGCATCGACGCACGACGTCAACGCGCGCGCGTCTCTCGTTCGCGTCGCGTCGACGGCGACGCGCGCGTACGCATCCATCGTCGCGCGATCGATGATTTCCCCGCGCGCGATCGATGATTCGATCCGTCTCGACCGCTCGACCCGGACGCCGCGCGCGGGAGACGCGCGCGCGTCGTCCACCCCGCGCGCGCGGGAGACGCGCGCGAATCGCGGGCGCGGGCGCGGCGCCGGGGGCGCGGGCGCGGGGCGATGGACGCACGCACACGCGGGTGTTTTCTATGTACACACAGACACGCACACGCGGGTGTTTTCTATGTACACACACACACGCGGGTGTTTGGCACCCGATCCAGCACCGCCGCGAGGCACGACGTCACGACTCATGACTCGTCGAACGCCCCCGAGCGACCACGACGATCGATCGCCCGGTCGACACCCGCGACGGCGGCGGCGACGACGACGACGAACGCACACGCGCGCGCGCGATGCGACTCGCGAACGTCGCGCCCGTCGCCCGCGGCGCCCGCGTCGGTTCGTCGGACCCCACGCGCGCGGTCGCGGCGAACGGGACGCGCGCGCCGCCGCGACGGACCGCGTCGTTCGACCCACCGGGTCGGGGCGAGCGCGGACGGACCGTGGTGCGGCGAAACACCCCGGCGGGGGTGGGGCGAAAGGCGGATGACCCGCTCGGGGTGTTCCGGTTGGAGTACGACGTCTCGCAGGATGAGAAGCATCGACCGAAGACGTGGAAACCGACGATCACGGTGGCGGTGAGCGGGGCGGCGGGACAGATCTCGAACCACCTGTTGTTTAAGATTGCGAGCGGGAGCGTGTTCGGGGCGGATCAGCCGGTTATTTTGCGATTGCTCGGGAGCGAACGATCGAGGACGGCGCTGGAGGGGGTGTCGATGGAGTTGGAGGATTGTCTGTTTCCGCTTCTGAGAGAGGTTGACATCGGAATCGACGCGAGGACGGTGTTCGCGGGCGCGGATTGGGCGCTGTTGATCGGTGCGAAGCCTCGAGGACCTGGGATGGAGCGAGGTGACTTGCTCGAGATGAACGGGAAGATTTTCGTCGAGCAAGGGAAGGCGTTGAACGATGTGGCCAAGCCGACGTGCAAAGTCATCGTCGTCGGGAACCCGTGCAACACGAATGCCCTCATCGCGTTGTCGCACGCGCCGAACCTCGACCCGAAGAACTTCCACGCCCTGACCAAGCTCGATGAAAACCGAGCGAAGTGCCAGTTAGCGATCAAGGCTGGTGTGTTCTACGAGACGGTGACCAACGTCGCGATTTGGGGCAACCACTCCACGACGCAAGTCCCGGACTTCGTCAACGCGAAGATCGACGGTAAGAAGGCGACGGATGTGATAACGGACCGCGAATGGCTCGAATCCGACTTCACGCCGGCGATTCAAACGCGTGGTGGTTTACTGATCAAAAAGTGGGGTCGCTCCTCCGCCGCGTCCACGGCGGTGTCCATCGCCGATCACATTCGAAACTTGGTCAACCCAACCGCTCCGGGGGATTTTTTCTCCTCCGCGGTTTTGAGTAACGGAAACCCGTACGGTATCCCCGACGGCTTGTGCTACTCCTTCCCGTGCCGCTCCAAGGGTGACGGCTCTTACGAAATCGTGCAAGGGCTCGAGATCAACGACTGGCTTCGCGAGCGCATGGACAAGAGCGCGGAAGAGCTCGTGAACGAAAAAGGCTGCGTCGGCTCCTTGTTCGGCGACGCTCACCTCGATGAGTTCGATATTCAGTGCCCCGTCGACCTCGATGACACCCTCTTGCCGGGCGAGATGTAGAGTGTCGCGCCAGGTCGATCGAAGAACGCACGCGTTTCATTATCCTCTTAAGCAGTACTCATCGTGAGTACGCGAACGATGAGTCGTGAAGACGTGAATTAATAATCTTCGTTGCAATACAATAAATTGATGAATTCAATGGGACGTGGGAAATTGATACTGTGTTGACGCTCTGCTCGCGTTTCGGTGTTGGTTCTCACGCCAGCGGCTTGCGGCAGACGAACACGCCCCACGCGAACACGCCCTTGTCGCGCTGCGTATCCGCGCGCTCGGTGAGAGATTCGAGCCAGTTGTTCAAGTACTGCTCAGTGATGCCCTTGGAGAGCATCTCCTCGCGGTGCGTGTGGATTTGATTTATCATGTCCCGGAAGTACGTCTCGAGATGGTTACTCCCGTCCCACCACGTGACGTAATCCAGACCCGCGTCCTTGATGCACTGCATGTATCCGGATGGTCGCCCCATGACGGTGGTGGCGTTGCGATCGGTGAATCCCTTGAGCGTCTTTTCGTCGGCGCCGTCGGCGCCCATGATGTCTGAGAACACGAACGCGGCTCCCGGCTTCATCACGCGATAAATCTCCTTGAATAGCTCCGTCTTGTCCCCGGCGTGGCACAAAACCTCGCACGACCACACGGAGTCGAACGAGTCGGTCCAATCCGCCGGGAACGGTTGGTTGATATCGCCGACGACGGCGTCAACCAAATCGCCCAACCCGAGCTCCTTCGCCTTGGCCAAATTCTGCGCGTTCTGCTGCGGCCCGATGTTATATCCAAGCACCTTGCATCCAAATCGCTTCGCCAGCGCGTGCGATCCACCACCGTGTCCACTTCCAACGTCGAGCACGCGGTCGCCCGCGCCGATCGGCCGCGCCATGTCCAACTGCGTCATCATCCACTCCGTCGTCGCCGCGCTGCTCTCCCGCACCCCATCTCCCGGCGCGCGATAAATCCCAAAGTGTATGTCGTCCCCCCCGCCTCCCATGACGACGGTGTAAAACGCCCGCTGCTGCGCGTCATCGTACTGCTCGAGCACTTTTTTCCCAACCTCCACCTTGTCGAACTGTTTCCCCACGAAATCCGCCTGCGCGCGATCGAATCCCGCGTCAATTCCCGTCGTCGTCGTCGTCGTCGCGCCATCGTCGCCGTCGCGCGCGCGCCCGTCGCACCATGTCGCGCCGCGTCGTCGCGCGCGTCGATCTGTCGACGCGTCTCTTCGCCCGCGCGGGGCACATCCCATACTCAAGCGCACGAACGCCGATCATCGTCCCCGAGTCGCGCCATCGGGGCGATCGCGCGCTCGTTCGCCCCGATGGCGCTCGGGGGCGTCGTATACGCATCATACAGTTCGCCCACACGTTTCACCGCGACGTCCACGCCGGTCGATCGTCCCTTTCACGCGACGTCCACGCCGGTCGATCGTCCCTTTCACCGCGACGTCCACGCCGGTCGATCGTCCCTTTCACCGCGACGTCCACGCCGGTCGATCGTCCCGCGCGCCGGCGCGCGCGCGAGCCCGGCGCGCGCGCGCGCGATCGGTGACGCGCGCGACGGGCGATCGCGCGCGCGCTCGAGGGACGGCGGACGCGATGGGCGACGCGCGGGCGCGACGGGCGGTGGGAACGACTGGACGCGGACGGGTGGTTGGAGCGACCGATCGCGGGGACGACGGCACGGCGACGGTGCGGGCGACGGCGACGACGGACGCGGACGCGGACGCGGACGCGTGGCGACTTGAGCGGGACGCGAAGCGCGGGACGTCGGCGCTGGAGCGGGCGAGCGACGCGGTGGCGCGCGCGCGGGCGCTGGCGCGGGCGACGGCGGACGCGAGCGGACGGAATCGGTTTCTACAACGCGCGCGCGTCGTGGAAGACGCGGTGCGCGCGCGCGTGGTGGCGGCGGAACGCGCGTTCGAGGCGGTGGCGGGGACGTCGGCGCTGGAGCGGGCGCGCGGGAGGACGCGGGCGGCGGCGCGGGACGGCGGCGCGGAGCGCGGAGCGGGATCGTTCTCGTTCGCTCGAGACGACGGTGGCGCTCGGGAGGTCGTGGACGACGATGGGTCGAGTGATGCGTCGGTTGATGGGTTCGGCGTGGACGACTCGGACGACTCGGACGCGGATCCAGACGTTCGCGACGTGGACGAAGCTCGACGAGAGATCGCGCGTTTACTCCGAGCGAGTAAGTCGCGACGCAAAGCGGCTCGCGCGAGACACATAGCGCAGAACAGAACGACCGCGCACTCGGCGCTCGACGGGAGGAAGAAACTCATCGGCGACAGAATCGCCGTCATCGACGGCTTATTATCCGCCTTGGCGGAGACGACGTAAGTCGCTAGACATTGTACAACAACGCTCGGCGTCGCGCCGACCGCGAAAATAAATCTCACCTCGCGCGTCCGAGCGCGCGCGCGCGCGTCAGAGCCTGAACCCGATCGGTTCGCGATACTTGCCCGTCCCGTAACAATCGCCGCACCCGCTCGCGCCGCTCGCGCGACACTCCGCGCACCACCTCGGCCACACCCCGGGCCCTAAAATCCTCGCCCGTCCCCCCAAACACCCCTCGCCCGAGCACACCGCGCACGGCACGACCCCGCGCCCTCGACACCGTTCGCACGCCCGTCCATCGCTCGGTGGGTCTCTCGTGAAGATCTTCACCGAAACCATCATCGCGTCCGACCCATCGCCCGTCGCGCGGTCGTCGCTCGATCGATCGCGCGCGCGCGGTCGTCGCGATCGCGTCCGTCGCCTGGGCGCGACGCGCGGGACGACGCGCGGGACGCCGACGCGCATGCGCGTCGCGAGGTGCGGGCCCGGCAGAGCATCGCGCGCTCGAACGCGCTCGAGAACGATGCGTCGCGCGCTCGATGGACGGTTCGCCGCGATCGTCGCGCGCGCGATGGACGCGCGCGCGATGGACGTCGCGCGCGCGCGCGGAGAGGCGATGGGTGCGACGCGAGGGAGAGAATTGATGACGGTTGGGAATTCATCGGATCCGGCATCGGTGTCGTCGCGCGCGCGCGCGAGGACGTCAGAGACGTCGATCGATCGCGCGCGGCGGTCGTTCACGGCGCAGAGGGAGGCGGCGACGGCGTCGCGGTGGAACGAGCTCGCGGATCAAGGGGTGGATGTCAATCCGTGCAACTCGCCGAAACATCCGGCGGCGCTCGCGGGGGTGGCGATCGACGCCTCGAAGCCGCGACGGAGCTTACAGGAGGCGTACGATCCGTTGTGCGTAGATTTTGTCAGTGGACACGCGCACGTCGGTGAGGGAGGGATCGGGCTCAAGACGTTTAGATGCGAGCAAGAGGAAAACGTGTGCGAGAGCAAGATGGCTTTTCCGGCGCAATACGAGGAGATCCCGGGCATCGTGGCGCCGGCCATGTTCGGCGTCGCCGCGAGCGCGCATGGAAATTGGGCGGCGTCGATCGCGCTGATGGATCGCGCCATCTTACCGCGACCGCCGCTGGTGACTCTGAAGTCGTTACGGTGCGACGTCTTGGACGTGTGCGCTCCCGGAGAGCCGCTCACTCTACGCTCGAGCGTGCTCCAAATCACCGACCAACGGGAGCCGTTCCGAGTCATCGTCGCCGTGGAGACGCGATCAAACGATACCGGCAAGGTCCTATCGCGCGCCGAGTGCGCGTATGAAAAGATCGGCGCCGTGCGTTCGATGCGCTAACCGTCGCGCCTTCTCGCCCGCTCCGCCCGCTCCGCCGCCACCACCGCGTCCTCCCTCGCGCCCACCACCGCGCGCCACAGACGACCGTGTACTTTCAATACTTTCTACGCACACCGTTTCACGCGTCTCCAACCGTCTCCAACCGTCGTCCATCGTCCCTCTCGCCGTCGCGCGTCGCCGCCTCAGGGTTTACACCGACGGCGCCCACCACCGCCGGTCTCTCGCCGTTCGCCCGCGCCCGTCCCCATCGACGCGCGCGAGATCGAGTGCGACGCACGCGCGCACGCGCGTTCGAGACGATCGACCGACCGTCGCCCGCCGCGTCGCGCGGGATGGCGTCCAGCGCGCGCGCCGCCGGCGCGTCGGTGATCAAAACCTCTCGCGCGCGAGACGGAAAGAAGCGCGCGTGCGTCCGCGCGCGCGTCTCCAGCGCGCGCGCGGGGACGGCGAACGAGGGACGTGATGTCGATGGATCGAACGGACCGCCGCGGGGGGTCGTGGACGCGAGAAGACGGACGGGAGGTCGGTCGAGGACGGCGGCGGGCGCGCGGACGGGCGGCGGGCGCGACGCGGAGACGCCGGGCGGTGATCGAGAGGGCGTGATCGCGAGCGCGACGGCGAACGGTGAGAATGCGACGAGTGGTGGACGGACGATCGAGGATATCCTGCGAGCGAAGAGTGGATTCACGAAGATTTTGTGCGCGAATCGCGGGGAAATCGCGGTTCGCGTGTTCCGAGCGGGACAAGAGCTCGGGATGAAGACGGTGGCGATCTTCGCGGACGCCGATCGACAGTCCACGCACAGATACAAGGCGGATGAGTCGTACGAGGTGGGGGTGGGTAAGGCGCCCGTGGCGGCGTACTTGGATTACGAAAGCATCATCCGCTGCGCCAAGGAGAACGGGGCGCAGGCGATTCACCCCGGGTACGGTTTGTTGAGCGAGAACGCGACGTTCGCGAGACGCTGCGAGGAGGAGGGCATCGTTCTCATCGGTCCGCGATCGCAGACGTTGACGGAGATGGGCGACAAGGTGATCGCGAAGCAAAAGGCGACGGAGTGCGGCTTGCCGCTCGTCCCGGGCACTGCGACGGCGACAATGGACGTGAACGACGCGCTGGAATTCGCGAGAGAGTTCGGGATGCCGATCATGCTTAAGGCCGCCATGGGCGGAGGTGGACGCGGTATGCGCGTTGTCAAGGAGTTTGACGAGCTCGAGGACGCTTTCAAGCGAGCGTCGAGCGAAGCGCAGACGGCATTCGGTGACGGGCGAATGTTCCTGGAGCGATACGTCGAGGCGCCGCGACACATCGAGGTGCAAATTCTCGCCGACAACTACGGGAACGTCGTCCACCTTGGCGAGCGCGATTGCTCGGTGCAACGGCGTCATCAGAAGGTGGTCGAGCTCGCCCCGGCGCCGAACCTCGATCCGGTACTCCGCGATACGTTGTGCAACGACGCCATCAAGCTCGCCAAGCACGTCAACTACCGCAACGCCGGGACCGTGGAGTTCATGGTCGACAAGGAAGGTCGTCACTACTTCTTGGAAGTGAATCCGCGTATTCAGGTCGAACACACGGTGACGGAGGAAGTCACCGGTGTCGATTTGGTGCAGTCACAAATCCTCATCGCGGGTGGTCAAAAGCTCAGCGACATCGGAATCAACTCCCAAGAGGACATCGTGCTCAGAGGTTTTGCGATGCAGTGCAGAATCACCACTGAAGACCCATCGATGAACTTTGCCCCGGATTTCGGTAAGGTTGAAGTGTATCGCCCCCCGGGCGGCATGGGTGTTCGCCTCGACGGTGAAGTCGTCGTCGGCTCTCGCGTTTCGCCCAACTACGACTCTCTTCTCGTCAAGCTCACGTGCACGGAGAAGACGTTCGATGCTGCGGTGCAGAAGATGTATCGTTCCTTGAACGAGTTCCGCATTCGTGGTGTCAAGACGAACATTCCGTTCTTGTTGAACGTCATGCAGAATGAGACGTTCTTGAGCGCCAACTTTGCCACGGATTTCATCGACAGCACGCCGAGCTTGTTCAAGCTCGATTCGTACATCGATGACACGCAAAAGCTCCTGAACTACCTCGGTGATGTTGCAGTGAACGGATCCTCTCACCCAGGTGCGGTGGGTCCGGCGCCTACGTGCGTGGAACCGCCGGTTCCGGAGCCGAAGAAGTTATTGGACGACCTTCAGGGTAAGGGGTTCAAGGCTATTTTGGATAAGGAAGGTCCGGCGGGCTTCGCCAAGGCGGTTCGCAACCACAAGGGTCTACTCATCATGGACACCACGTGGCGTGACGCTCACCAGTCGCTCCTTGCGACTCGAGTACGCACTCACGATATGCGACGCTCTGCTCCGCTTACGCGAAGTGCTCTCGATGGCGCGTACTCTTTGGAAATGTGGGGTGGTGCTACGTTCGACGTGGCTCTTCGATTCCTGCAGGAAGATCCCTGGCGACGACTTGAACTTCTCCGCGAGCAAGTACCGAACATTCCGTTCCAAATGCTCCTTCGAGGTGCTAACGCGGTTGGTTACACGAGTTACGCCGACAACGTCGTGCAGGCTTTCGTGCACCAAGCGAAGAAGTCTGGCGTCGACATCTTCCGCGTGTTCGACTCCTTGAACTACGAAGACAACCTCATGTTCGGTATTGATGCCGTCCGCAACGCGAACGGTGTTGTTGAGGCGACGATTTGCTACAGCGGTGACGTGAGTGATCCGAAGAGAACGAAGTACACTTTGGATTACTACGTCGCGCTCACCGAAAAGCTCGTCGCCCACGGTATTGACGTCCTCGCCATCAAAGATATGGCCGGTCTGCTCAAGCCACGTGCAGCGACGATGCTCGTGGAGGCGATTCGAGCAAAATTCCCCGATTTGCCGATCCATGTGCACACACATGACACGGCCTCCACCGGTGTCGCATCGATGCTTGCTTGCGCGAACGCCGGTGCCGACGTCGTTGACGTGTGCATGGACGCCTTGTCCGGCACGACGTCTCAACCCAGCATCGGCGCCGTCCTGAACTCTGTCGCTGGAACCGATCTCGACACGGGTATGGACATCGAAGAAGTGTTAAAACTCAACTTGTTCTGGGAACAAACGAGAGGTCTTTACTCTCCATACGAAAGCGGCATCAAGAGCGGCAGCTCGGATGTATACATTCACGAAATGCCGGGCGGTCAGTACACGAACTTGAAGTTTCAAGCTTACGCGAACGGCTTGGGTAGTGAGTGGGATCGTATCAAGGACTCGTACGCGACTGCGAACAGAATTCTGGGTGACATTGTGAAAGTGACACCGTCCTCCAAGGTAGTTGGCGACTTTGCTCAGTTCTTGGTCGCGAACAACTTGGATGAGAAATCCCTCCTCGAGAAAGCTGACACGCTCTCGTTCCCGACGTCCGTCGTCGAATACTTCCAAGGTTACTTGGGGCAGCCGGTTGGCGGCTTCCCTGAGCCGCTTCGCTCCAAGGTTGTCAAGGGCAAGGACATCATCAACGGTCGCCCGGGCGCGTCGCTTCCAGAGCTGGATCTGTCCAAGCTCCAAAACGATTTGGCTCGCAAGCACGTGGGTCGCCGCGCGATCACGCACAAGGACACTCTCGCGGCGGCACTTTATCCCAAAGTGTTTGACGAATACGTCGTCAAGCGCGACACTGTCGGTCCGGTTGGCTTGTTGCCAACCAAGGCGTTCTTGAAGGGCCTCGACATCGACGAAGAGATTGAGGTCACCACGGATCGTGGCGTGAGCACGAACATCAAGCTCAAGGCTGTCGGTGAGCTCTTGCCCAGCGGGAGCCGCGAGGTGTTCTTCGAGGTCAACGGCATCCCGCGCGTGGTGGAGATCCACGACCGTAAGGTGCTTGAATCCACGAAGTCTGGCGTGGTTTCCACTGCGCGGGAGAAGAGCGACCCGCTCGATGAGGGTTCGATCGGCGCGCCGATGTCCGGCGACGTCGTCGACGTTCTCATCGCCCCGGGCCAAAAGGTCAAGGCTGGCGAGTCCCTCGTCGTCCTCAGTGCGATGAAGATGGAGACCACGGTGGCGTCGCCCGTCTCAGGCACGCTCAAGCACGTCGTCGTCGTCAAGGGTGACTCGTGCGCCGCTGGGGACTTACTGTGCGCCATCGATACCGATGCTGCCTAGGGTCCGCGACCAATCAAGACACCTAGCAACCACCGACGCGACGCGAACGATACCTCAGCAAGCCATAGCCATCCTACATGTCAAGTAACGATAAACGTCAACGTCAAAAACCAAAACCTCACTGCGCGCCTCGGTCGTGCACCATGGTGCGCGGCGCCGCCAAGGCCATCGCCCAAGAGCGCAACGCCAAGAAACACTCGGGCAAGGACAAGAAGTGCGTCGAACAGCCGCGATGGACATCGAATCGTCCGTGTCATCGTCGGTTCTCTCAAACTCTTGTCCCAGAGCCAACAAGACTGACAACAGCACATTCGTCTTCGCTCCCCTAGGTCCGAGATCGGCGCCGGCGCGAAGGCGCTCAAGGTGACGTGCCCCATGTGCAAGCTCCAACTGATCAATCATCACCAACTGAAGGATCACTACGCGTCGAAACATCCCAAGGAGACGTGTCCGCCGGCGGAGAGCTTTCAGTAGCGGATAAACCGCGACGCGACGGCGCGACCGGGCGAACGCGCCCTGGAGGATTCACACGCGATGCGACGCGAGCCGTGTTATATATTATTCATCGTACGCTATAGACGCGTTCATCACGCGCTCGCGCGCGCTCGCGTCGACTCTCGACGTCGCCGCCGCGACGCGCGGACGCCACGCCCTCGGACACACGTCCTCAGGATGCGACGCGCGCGTCGCGGACTCTCTCTCGCGCGTCGTGAACTCGAACGCGCGATCAAAACGCACGGCGTCGAGCCGTCTCGCGTGAACCGTCGAGCGCTCGAGACGACGCGCGCGGCGGGAGAGAGCGCCGCCGCCGCCGGTTTTGCAAATTCAACAATGACGCGAGCCGACGACGATTCCTCGACGCGATGTGATCCGTCGACGTCCGCGATCGAGCTCCCGCGTGAGTTTCGGTTCTCGGCGACCGGAGATGGGTCGAACGAGCCGGCGCACGAGTGCGCGCGCGAGCGTTCGGGGCGGAGCGCAAAGCCGAGAGGGTTTGCGTTCTTCGAGGAGCTCGGGTCGCCGAGGTATCACGTGGCGCCCATGGTAGATCAGAGCGAACTTGCGTTCAGGGAGCTGTGTAAGCGATACGGTGCGACGCTGGGGTACACGCCGATGATACACGCGCGGTTGTTCGTGGAGAGTCCAAAGTATCGACAAGAGATTTTTAGCACGTCGACGCGCGATAGGCCGCTCTTGGCGCAGTTCTGCGCGAATGATCCGGAGATGTTGCTCAAGGCGGCGACGTTGATCGCGCCGTACTGCGATGGGGTGGATATAAACTTTGGGTGCCCGCAGAGGATTGCGAAGAGAGGTAATTATGGGGCGTTTTTGATGGACGATTGGAAGACGGTGGACGCGTTGATCAGGAAATTGGACGAGGAGCTACCCGTTCCGGTCACGGCGAAAATTCGCGTCTTCGATGATTTGGAGACAACATTAAAGTATGCAAAGATGGTCGAGGCTGCGGGGGCGCAACTTGTCGCCGTGCACGGGCGCACACGAGAGCAGAAGCGGTGCGCAGAAATTCGAGCAAACTGGTGCGTACGCGCTTAATGAGAGCGACACGTTTTTTTTTTGCGTTTTCCACAAACGAGCGGCAAAGATTCCGGTGACGACAAACCTAAAAATACACCATAGATCTGTTCCGAAAAATCTTGACGACAAAAACATGCACCACTAACTGAGGAATCAATTCGCCGCTCGGGTGAATCCGCATTTTTTTCTGCGCCCACATCGCGTATCGATGACTGACAGCCATGAACGCTCGCAGGACGTACATTAAAGCAATCAAGGATGCACTCAAGGTTCCAGTCCTCGCTAATGGTGATATTCGCTCCCTCGCGGAAGCAAAGGCGTGTCTTGAGGCCACCGGCGCGGATGGCGTTCTGAGCGCCGAACCGCTCTTGAGCAACCCCGCGTTGTTCAGTGATCCGCCGTTTTACGAACCGCCCAGTGACGGTCACGCGCCGATTCCAATGGACGGTGTCGCCGCGGTCGAATTGATGATCGAGTACTTCGAGATATGTAAGTCGTACACGACGCCGTTCGGATACGTGCGCGGGCACGTGTGGAAGCTCGTCGGTCACTGGATGAGCGATCTCACGCATTTGCGAGACGAATTTGTTCAGTTCAAGGGCGATCCCTCGCTCGACGATCTCATTGCATGGGGACAGAAAATGCGAGCGGAGATCAAAGAAATCGAGCGCACGACTGGCAGACGACGCCCGATTCCGAAGAAGTCCGAACGCGCGTTACAGAGGGAAGCCGAGCAAGCCGCAAAGCAAGCCGCAATCGAGGAAAGCAAGCGCGAAGAGGACGCGCTTAGAGGTGCGTGACGACTCGCAACGCGCTCGCGTCTCTTCGCCGCGACTTGATTCGACCGGCATATGAGGATAAACAACAGATAGGGACATCTTACGCGCGAGAGTGATGCGAAATCTGGTCAACTCGATGGAGACATCGACGTTCTGCCGATGCCGAGGAACGGCTTCATCAACACAAGCCCCCGGGACGAACGTGACGACTAACAACGCGCTTTGCTTCGCAGAAATCAACGCCGAAATCGCCGAAAGCGACGACGGGGCGCACGCCAAGCGACCAAAACTCGCCCAGGACGAGGTCACGGCGTGATGTACCAACATGTAACTGTATAGACCACGTTGAAATCCAATGGAACAAAGGACATTGGGACGAGTGAGCCTCACATCGACGCGCTCGAAACCACGCTCGCGCTCGAAACATCCACGCTCAATTGACGCGCCTTCTGGCGACACTCGGCATCGACATCCGCGCTTCGTATCGATCCAGTCATCTTCAACCATGAGCGTCTCCGCGAGCGCCAGTTGGCACGACGAGAAGCCGCGCCACGCGAAAGACCTCGCGCGTGAGCTCGAGAGAATTCGAAAGCGCGCTGGTGTGCCCACTATCGAGGATGTCGAGGAATTTTACGACGTCGGCAAGTTCGCGGGGTTGGGCGAGAGCGTTCTTTCGAAGGCGCATCGACGCGCGGCGCCGACTTTCGTCCACGGCGAGCACTTCCGCAGAATCGTCGCCAAGACGCATCGGGACATGTTCGGCGCCGCGAGCAAATCCACGGCGAGCAAGGGGACGCTTGTGAAACCGTTTTCGCCTATCCGACCACCGTTAAAGGAAGGGACATCGCGGAGTGCGAATTCATCAGGCGATTCAGACTCGGACGAAAACGAAGCGTCGATGTCGCTCGGCGCTTTGACGGTTATCTTCGTCGTCATCATCCTGACGTTTCTCGCGCTCTTAATCGGCGGCATCATCGTCTGCGACGTGTGCGCTGAAAATTTCCGAGCGGTCACGACGACGTGAGTGAGTTCGACGCCCTCGTTCGCGTCTCTTCACCTCTGCTCGATGTGCACCTGCCCGAGGCGCCGCGTCGCGCCACTTCGCGCCTCGCGCGCGTCACCACATCAGCACCACCGCTCGCCGTCCCGCCTCGGCGTTCATCATACACGCGACAGGCGCGGCGTCAGTAGTCACACACGCACGCGCCGCGCGGAGAAGCGGCGCTTGAGAATGCAAACGTCCGGAATCGCACCGCGCGTCGTCGATCAAGGGTGCGCCGAGGAATCTCGCTTGGCCTTAGCTTGCGCCACCTCGCAGCCCGGTGTGGATAAGTCGGCGTGTGACGACTTGTTCAAGGCGTACAAGGCGTGCAGAAAGCTGGAGGGGGAGCGAGTTGTGAGAGAACGCAGAGAAGGTCGGAGGAGCGCGTTCTGAGCGGGACGCTCGTAAGAAGAAAAGTGAACTGTGAGCGATGCGTCGAACGGTGATGGTGGAGAGGACGTTATCGGTCGTGACGCGCGCGCGAGTCTCGATGTCAACACGGGTGAGAGGTCGAGCGGCGGCGAAAGCGAACGCCGTGGCGGAGAACGGGCCGGTTCCCGAACGCGCCTTCGTGCGACCGCCGAACGCACCGAAGGACGACAACACCTGGCGAAATATGACGATTTTGGTGGATAAACCAAAGGGGTACACGTCATTTGACGTCGTCGCGCGCGTACGAAGGCTGAGTAAACAGCGAGGGGTGAAGAAGGTTGGCCACTGCGGAACGCTCGATCCGATGGCGACCGGGTTGTTGATCCTGTGCGTCGGTCGGGCGACGAAGAGCGTGGATGAGTACACTGGAATGGACAAGACGTATACGGGGACGATTAGATTGGGCGAGGGCACGCCGTCGCAGGACGCGGACGAAGCGGTGAACGAGCGAGAGCCGTGGGAGCACGTCACCGACGAGGCGTTGCGAGAGCGCGCGCGAGCGCTCACCGGACCCATCGAACAGCTCCCCCCGATGTACTCCGCGATAAAGGTGGACGGTAAGCGATTGTACAAGTCTGCTCGAGAGGGCGTGGAAGTCGAGCGCAAGACGAGACCCGTGGTTATTCACGAGTTCCACGTCGAGCGCGACTCGGAGGATGCACAATCGGTGCACTTTTCAGCGCACGTCTCCAAGGGAACGTACGTGCGCACGCTCGCGTATGATTTGTGCAAAAGTCTCGGTACGACGGGTCACCTGACGGCACTTCGACGTACGAAGATTGGTGGCGAGTTTGACGTCGAAGACGCGTGGTCGATTGAACAGCTCGCCGAGGCGTGCGGAGAAGATCCGTCAAAGTTTCAGAAACGCGAAAGGGGAGCGACTGGAGGGGGAAAGAAGTCGCAGAAGAAGAAGAAATCGGAGGAAAATGGCAAAGTTGAAAAGGCGGGGAACGAAAAGGTTGGGCTCATTACTAGACTAGTTGGGCTACTGAAGAGGCTAGTGCGTTTTGGTGTAAAGTAAAAAATTGATGTCACACGACGAGCGCCATGGACACCTTGTGCTCTCTTACGAGCTTTGCCGGATCGCGGATGATTTGCACGCGCACCCGTGATTTGTCACCAGCGTTGTACACGCGATAGATGTGATAATTCACGCTCGGTTTCGTCGCAAAATCCCACTCCCACGGGGAGATCTCGAACGCGTTCTTGTCGTCAAAACGCGTCGATTTCACTTCGACAAACGTCACGAGACCCGTCTTGATGTCCGTCACCTTGATGTCATAAAAACTATTCGTCTCCTCGTTCGCATTCAACCACTCCACGACGTTGTTCTCGCGCGCTGGGAACGTGGCGAGAAGGTAGTGATACACGAGCGCCTCGCCCCACCGCCCCACCGCCCGCGGATCCCGCGAGTCCACGTTCTCCCACCAAGGAACGAATCGCTCGACGACATCACTCACGACCTCACTCTTCGCCATCTTCGGTGTTCGTAACCGTCCCTCCCAATCGTACTCATCCTCAACGCGCACGGTGATGCCTTCTCCGTCGTCCGAGCGCCTCGCGTCTTCGTCTCGCTTTCCGCGCGCCACGCGCACCGTCGTCATCGGTGTTTCTACCTCATCCCTCTCGTGCTTCCTCCCCACGCTCGCGTCATCATCCTTCACGTCATCCACGGCTTCGACCGGCACCGCATCGTCGTCGACCTCGCCTTTCTCCTCCGGCGGTTCGTCCTCGAAACACTTGGCGCGATGTTTGGATCCGCCCAAGTGCAACATGACGTACTCCGTCACCGTCACCGCGCGCTCGTCCGCCGTCATCTCCCCCCACACCGCCTCCACCGCGCGTCGCACCTTTGCGAACGACGGCGCGTAGCCCACTTCCCCCGATTCCGCGAGCGTTCGGTCGCGCACGCGCGCCACCGCCCGCCGCGCCTCTCCGCGCCTCGGTTCTCGCAAACGCGGCGTCCATCCACCCTTCGCCCGTCGC